TGAGTCTATGTGTGGCAGTGTTGAGTCTATGGGTGGCAGTGTTGAGTCTGTGGGTGGCAGTGTTGAGTCTATGGGTGGCAGTGTTGAGTCTATGGGTGACAGTGTTGAGTCTATGGGTGGCAGTGTTGAGTCTGTGGGTGGCAGTGTTGAGTATGGGTGGCAGTGTTGAGTCTGTGGGTGGCAGTGTTGAGTCTATGGGTGGCAGTGTTGAGTCTGTGGGTGGCAATCTTGAGTCTTTGGGTGGCAGTGTTGAGTCTGTGGGTGGCAGTGTTGAGTCTGTGGGTGGCAGTGTTAAGTCTGTGGGTGGCAGGGTTGAGTCTATGGGTGGCAGTGTTGAGTCAGTGGGTGACAGTGTTGAGTGTATGGGTGGCAGTGTTGAGTCTGTGGGTGGCAGTGTTTAGTCTATGGGTGCCAGTGTCGAGTCTATGGGTGGCAGTGTTGAGTCTATGTGTGGCAGTGTTGAGTCTATGGGTGGCAGTGTTGAGTCTGTGGGTGCCAGTGTCGAGTCTATGGGTGGCAGTGTTGAGTCTATGTGTGGCAGTGTTGAGTCTATGGGTGGCAGTGTTGAGTCTGTGGGTGGCAGTGTTGAGTCTATGGGTGGCAGTGTTGAGTCTATGGGTGACAGTGTTGAGTCTATGGGTGGCAGTGTTGAGTCTGTGGGTGGCAGTGTTGAGTATGGGTGGCAGTGTTGAGTCTGTGGGTGGCAGTGTTGAGTCTATGGGTGGCAGTGTTGAGTCTGTGGGTGGCAATCTTGAGTCTTTGGGTGGCAGTGTTGAGTCTGTGGGTGGCAGTGTTGAGTCTGTGGGTGGCAGTGTTAAGTCTGTGGGAGGCAGTGTTGAGTCTGTGGGGGGCAGTGTTGAGTCTGTGGGTGGAAGTGTTGAGTCTCTGGGTGGCAGTGTTGAGTCTGTGGGTGGCAGTGTTGAGTCTATGGGTGGCAGTGTTGAGTCTGTGGGTGGCAGTGTTGAGTCTGTGGGAGGCAGTGTTGAGTCTATGAGTGGCAGTGTTGAGTCTATGGGCAGGGTTGAGTCTGTGGGTGACAGTGTTGAGTCTATGGGCAGTGTTGAGTCTGTGGGTGGCAGTGTTGAGTCTATGGGTAGTGTTGAGTCTATGGGTGGCAGTGTTGAGTCTATGGGCAGTGTTGAGTCTGTGGGTGACAGTGTTGAGTCTGTGGGTGACAGTGTTGAGTCTATGGGCAGTGTTGAGTCTATGGGTGGAAGTGTTGAGTCTATGGGCAGTGTTGAGTCTGTGGGTGACAGTGTTGAGTCTATGGGTGGCAGTGTTGAGTCTGTGGGTGGCAGTGTTGAGTCTGTTGGTGGCAGTGTTGAGTCTGTGGGTGGCAGTGTTGAGTCTGTGGGTGGCAGTGTTGAGTCTGTGGGTGGCAGTGTTGAGTCTGTCGGTGACAGTGTTGAGTTTATGGGTGGCAGTGTTGAGTCTATGGGTGGCATTGTTGAGTCTGTGGGTGGCAATGTTGAGTCTTTGGGTGGCAGTGTTGATTCTGTGGGTGGCGGTGTTTAGTCTATGGGTGGCAGTGTTGTGTTTTTGGGTGGCAGTGTTGAGTCTGTGGGTGGCAGTGTTGAGCCTATGGGTGGCAGTGTTGAGTCTGTCGGTAGCAGTGTTGAGTCTATGGATGGCAGTGTTGAGTCTGTGGGTGGCAGTGTTGAATCTATGGGTGGCAGTGTTGAGTCTATGGGTGGCAGTGTTGAGTCAGTGGGTGACAGTGTTGAGTCTGGGTGGCAGTGTTGAGTCTGTGGGTGGCAGTGTTTAGTCTATGGGTGGCAGTGTTGAGTCTATGGGTGGCAGTGTTGAGTCAGTGGGTGACAGTGTTGAGTCTGGGTGGCAGTGTTGAGTCTGTGGGTGGCAGTGTTTAGTCTATGGGTGGCAGTGTTGAGTCTATGGGTGGCAGTGTTGAGTCTATGGGTGGCAGTGTTGAGTCTGTGGGTGGCAGTGTTGAGTCTGTGGGTGGCAGTGTTGAGTCTGTGGGTGGCAGTGTTGAGTCTGTGGGTGGCAGTGTTGAGTCTATGGGTGCCAGTGTCGAGTCTATGGGTGGCAGTGTTGAGTCTATGTGGCAGTGTTGAGTCTATGGGTGGCAGTGTTGAGTCTGTGGGTGGCAGTGTTGAGTCTATGGGTGGCAGTGTTGAGTCTATGGGTGGCAGTGTTGAGTCTGTGGGTGGCAGTGTTGAGTATGGGTGGCAGTGTTGAGTCTGTGGGTGGCAGTGTTGAGTCTATGGGTGGCAGTGTTGAGTCTGTGGGTGGCAATCTTGAGTCTTTGGGTGGCAGTGTTGAGTCTGTGGGTGGCAGTGTTGAGTCTGTGGGTGGCAGTGTTAAGTCTGTGGGAGGCAGTGTTGAGTCTGTGGGTGGAAGTGTTTAGTCTATGGGTGGCAGTGTTGAGTCTCTGGGTGGCAGTGTTGAGTCTGTGGGTGGCAGTGTTGAGTCTATGGGTGGCAGTGTTTAGTCTGTGGGTGGCAGTGTTGAGCCCATGGGTGGCAGTGATGAGTCTGTGAGTGGCAGTGCTGAGTGTGGGTGGCAGTTTTGAGTCTGTGGGTGGCAGTGTTGAGTCTGTGGGTGGCAGTGTTGAGTCTGTGGGTGGCAGTGTTGAGTCTGTGGATGGCAGTGTTGATTCTGTGGGTGGCAGTGTTGATTTTGTGGATGACAGTGTTGAGTCTATGGATGGCAGTGTTGAGTCTATGGGTGGCAGTGTTGAGTCTATGGGTGGTAGTGTTGAGTCTTTGGGTGGTAGTGTTGAGTCTGTGGGTGGCAGTGTTAAGTCTATAGGTGGCAGTGTTGAGTCTATTGGTGGCAGTGTTGAGTCTGTGGGTGGCAATGTTGAGTCTTTGGGTGGCAGTGTTGCGTCTGTGGGTGGCAGTGTTGAGTCTGTGGGTGGCAGTGTTGAGTCTGTGGGTGGCAGTGTTGAGTCTGTGGGTGGCAGTGTTGAGTCTGTGGGTGGCAGTGTTGAGTCTGTGGGTGGCAGTTTTGAGTCTGTGGGTGGCAGTGTTGATTCTGTGGGTGGCAGTGTTGATTTTGTGGATGACAGTGTTGAGTCTATGGGTGGCAGTGTTGAGTCTATGGGTGGCTGTGTTGAGTCTGTGGGTGGCAGTGTTGAGTCTATTGGTCGCTGTGTTGAATCTGTGGGGGGCAGTGTTGAGTCTATGGGTGGCAGTGTTGAGTCTGTGGGAGGCAATGTTGAGTCTATGGGTGGCAGTGTTGAGTCTGTGGGTGGCAGTGTTGCGTCTATGGATGGCAGTGTTGAGTCTGTGGGTGGCAGCGTTGAGTCTGTGGGTGGCAGTGTTGAGTCTGTGGGTGGCAGTGTTGAGTCTGTGGGGGGCAGTGTTGAGTCTGTGGGTGGTAGTGTTGAGTCTGTGGGTGGCAGTGTTGAGTCTGTGGGTGGCAGTGTTGAGTCTGTGGGTGGCAGTGTTGAGTCTGTGGGTGGCAGTGTTGAGTCTGTAGGTGGCAGTGTTGAGTCTGTGGGTGGCAGTTTTGAGTCTGTGGGTGGCAGTGTTGATTCTGTGGGTGGCAGTGTTGATTTTGTGGATGACAGTGTTGAGTCTGTGGGTGGCAGTGTTGAGTCTATGGGTGGCAGTGTTGAGTCTATTGGTGGCAGTGTTGAATCTTTGGGGGGCGGTGTTGAGTCTATGGGTGGCAGTGTTGAGTCTGTGGGAGGCAATGTTGAGTCTATGGGTGGCAGTGTTGAGTCTGTGGGTGGCAGTGTTGCGTCTATGGGTGGCAGTGTTGAGTCTGTGGGGGGCAGTGTTGAGTCTATGGGTGGCAGTGTTTAGTCTCTGGGTGGCAGTGTTGAGTTTATGGGTGGCAGTGTTGAGTCTGTGGGTGGCAGTGTTGAGCCCATGGGTGGCAGTGATGAGTCTGTGAGTGGCAGTGTTGAGTCTGTGGGTGGCAGTGTTGAGTCTGTGGGTGGCAGTGTTGAGTCTGTGGGTGGCAGTGTTGAGTCTGTGGGTGGCAGTGTTGAGTCTGTGGGTGGCAGTGTTGAGTCTATGGGTGGCAGTGTTGAGTCTGTGGGTGGCAGTGTTGAGTCTGTGGGTGGCAGTTTTGAGTCTGTGGATGGCAGTGTTGAGTCTATGGGTGGCAGTGTTGAGTCTATTGGTGGCAGTGTTGAGTCTATGGGTGGCAATGTTGAGTCTTTGGGTGGCAGTGTTGAGTCTGTGGGTGGCGGTGTTTAGTCTATGGGTGGCAGTGTTGAGTCTGTGGGTGGCAGTGTTGAGCCTATGGGTGGCAGTGTTGAGTCTGTCGGTAGCAGTGTTGAGTCTATGGATGGCAGTGTTGAGTCTGTGGGTGGCAGTGTTGAATCTATGGGTGGCAGTGTTGAGTCTATGGGTGGCAGTGTTGAGTCAGTGGGTGACAGTGTTGAGTGTGGGTGGCAGTGTTGAGTCTATGGGTGACAGTGTTGAGTCTGTGGGTGGCAGTGTTGAGTCTGTGGGTCGCAGTGTTGAGTCTGTGGGTGGCAGTGTTGAGTCTATGGGTGGCAGTGTTGAGTCTATGGGTGGCAGTGTTGAGTCTATGGATGGCAGTGTTGAGTCTGTGGGTAGCAGTGTTGAGTCTATGGGTGGCAGTGTTGAGTCAGTGGGTGACAGTGTTGAGTCTGGGTGGCAGTGTTGAGTCTATGGGTGACAGTGTTGAGTCTGTGGGTGGCAGTGTTGAGTCTATGGGTGGCAGTGTTGAGTCTGTGGGTGGCAGTGTTGAGTCTGTGGGTGGCTGTTTTGAGCCTATGGGTGGCAGTGTTGAGTCTATGGGTGACAGTGTTGAGTCTATGGGTGGCAGTGTTGAGTCTGTGGGTGGCAGTGTTGAGTCTATAGGTGGCAGTGTTGAGTCTATGGGTGGCAGTGTTGAGTCTATGGGTGGCAGTGTTGAGTCTATGGGTGGTAGTTTTGAGTCTATGGGCAGTGTTGAGTCTATGGTGCAGTGTTGAGTCTATGGTGTTGTTACTGAGTCCATGGTGTTGTTACTGAGTCTTTGGTGTTTTACTTTCTGTGTCTCTCTGCCCGGCTAAGCAGCTCTGCGTAGCCGGGCGTCTTCTCTTGACTCACCGCCTCCTCCTGCTGGCACCACCGCCACCACGGCCACCGCCACCACCGCCACCACGGCCACCGCCACCACGGCCACCGCCACCACGGCCACCACCACAGGGCTGTCGCGCCAGCTGCTGCAGAGAGCGCTTCAATTAGCCAGGGTCAAGGCTCCCACGGGGGTAACGCTTGCGCCGGGCACCACTATCACCATCACTACCACCACTACCACCACTATCACCATCACCACCACTACCACCATCACCACCACTACCACCATCACCACCTTCACCACCACTATCACCACCACTACCACCACCACTACCACCACCACCAATACCATCACCACCACTACCACCACCATTACCACCATCACCACCACTACCACCACCACCATCATCACTACCACCATCACTACTATCACCACCACCACCTTCACCACCACTACCACCACCTTCATCACCACCACCACTACCACCACCATCATCACTACCACCACCATCATCACCACCACTACCATCACCACCACCACCATCACCACCACTACCACTACCACCACCACTACCACCATCACAACCACTACCACTACCATCACCACCACCATCACCACCACCATCACCACCACCACTATCACCACCACTATCACCACCACTACCACCACCACTACCACCACCATCATCACTTCCACCACCATCATCACCACCACTGCCATCACCACCACTACCACCACCACCATCACCACCACTACCACCATCACCACCACTACCACCATCACTACCACTACCACCATCACCACCACTACCACCATCACCACCACCATCACCACCACTACCACTACCATCACCACCACCATCACCACCACTACCATCACCAGCAGCTCCACCATCACCACCACCATCACCACCGTTGCCACTGAGACAGGAATTGGTTTTGCGTGCTGAACGCTGGAATCTGATGCCCCTCCCTCTCTCCCCTCCCCCCTCTCCCTCCACCCCTCCCCTCGACAGCGTCCTCCCCGACGTGCCCCGGCGGCCCCGGCGGCCCCGGCGGCCGTGGCCAGCGCCGTGGCCAGCGCCGTGAGCAGCAAAGCCAGCGCCGCGAGTGGCGTTAGCGCCGTCAGCTCCGTGAGCAGCTCCGTCAGCTCCGTGAGCAGCTCCGTGAGCAGCAACGTCAGCTCCGTGAGCAGCAACGTCAGCTCCGTGAGCGGCGTTAGCGCCGTCATCTCCGTGAGCACTGCCTTGAGCAGCAGCGTCAGCGCCGTCAGTGCCATGAGCAGCTCCGTGAGCAGCTCCGTGAGCAGCTCCGTGAGCAGCGCCGTCAGCGCCCGCTCCTCGCGCCCCATCCGGGTGCCCAAGCGCTACGCGGACGACGACGTCGCCTCGTTCGCTCCGCCCCCCAAGGCCGCCCGCCGCGACCACCGCGACCACCGCCCCCCCGCGCCGTTCCCGGCCCCCGAGGGCCGCCGCTGGAAGTCGCTGGGGCCCCGGCAGGGCGGCGCCGGCGGCGCCGGCGGTGCCGGCACTGCCGGCAGCGCTGCCGGCGCCGACGGCGGCGGCGGCGGCGGCGGCGCGGCGGCGGCGGCGCCGCTGCGGATCCGCCTGAGGGTCGCCCCGGAGCACCGGAATAGCACGGAGGTGGTGCGGGAGCAGCAGCAGCAGGAAGAGGTGAAGGAGGAGGAGCAGCAGGAGGTGAAGGAGGAGGAGCAGGAGGAGGAGGTGAAGAGGAAGGAGGTGAAGGAGGAGGAGAAGGAGGAGGAGGTTGGACCGCGGGCGACGAGGAGGCACTGCGGACGCTGGTGGCAGGGCCGGGGCCGGGGACGCGGCAGCAGCAGCAGGAGGAGGAGGAGGGGAGGAGGAGGAGGTGGAGCGAGGAGAGGAGGCGAGGAAGAGGAGGCCAAGGTGGGCGAGGTGGTGAAGGCGCTGGAGCAGCAGCAGCAGCAGCAGCAGCAGGAGGAGGTTTTGTCCGAGCGGCCGCTGCTAAAGAAGCGGAAGAATCGGCGGCAGGAGACGCCGGCGGATCACGATTCAGACCCCACCCCCAGCACCCTCACCACCACCACCCCTACCACCGCGCCCACCACCACCCCCATCACCACCACTCCCACCACCCCCACCCCTACCACCACCCTCACCACCACCCCCATCACCACCCCCACCACCCCCACCACCACCCTCACCACCACCCCCACCACCACCCCCACCGCCGCCACCGCCGCCGCCCGGTCTCCGGCATCGTCGCCGCCGCCGGTGTTGGTGGTGGTGGGCAAGCGGCGCTCCGCGCTGCGTGACCCGGCCTTCCGCTTCTCCTCGCTGCTGGCGTGCCAGCCGGACCCGCCGGCGGCGGTCGCCCCAGCAGCAGCAGCAGCAGCAGCCGCCGGCACCGCCGGCACCGCCGGAATCGGCGGCCGCTGGGGACGGGCGGCCGCCCGCGGCGGTGCCGGTCGGGCGCGGCAGCAGCAGCAGCAGCAACAACAACAACAGCAGCAACAACAACAACAACAGCAACAGCAGCGACGGCAGCAACAGCAGCAGCAGCGGCAGCTGCAACAGCAGCAGCTGCAACAACAACAACAACAGCAGCAGCTGCAGCAGCAGCAGCTCACCAAGCGTCAGCGTGGCGCCGGGCCGGAGCTCCTCGCCCACGGCCGGCGTCCGTGGGGGAGGGAGGGCGGCGGCGGCGGCGGTGGTGGCGGTGGTGGTGGCGGTGTTGCCGTTGCCGTTGCCGCCGCTTTATCTTCGTCGTCGTCGGCGTCGTCGGCGTCGGCGTCGGCGTCAGGCTGCTCGTCTTCGTCGTTGTCCTCGTCGTCATCGTCGTCAGCTTCTACTTCTTCTTCTTCTTCGTCGTCGTCGTCGTCGTCGTCGGAGGAGGAGGAGGAAGTGGAGGTGGAGGAGGAAGTGGAGGTGGAGGCGGGCGACGAGGCGAAGGAGCGGAGGGACGACGACGCGGTGGAGGCGGTGGTGGAGGCGGGCGACCAGGTGGCGGGCGACCAGGTGGCGGGGTCCGCGGCGATGGGCGGCGGCGTTCACAAACTCGTGCTCAAGATCCACGCCAGCCGCCTCGTCCGGCCGAGCGCCGACGCCGACGACGCCGACGAGGAGGAGGAGGAGGAGCAAGAGGAGGAGGAGGAGGAGAGGAAGAGGAGGAGGAGGCGGAAGAAGAAGAAGAAGAGGAAGAGGAGGAGGAGGATTAGGCGGAGGAGGAAGCGACGGAAGAAGAACGCACGGCGGAGATCGCTCGCAGCGGGCGACTCCAAGCGGGGCGACGAGGAGGAGGAGGAGGTGGAGGAGGAGGAGGAGGAGGTGGAGGAGGAGGAAGAGGAGGTGGAGGAGGAGGTGGGGGAGGAGGGGGGGAGGGTGTCGTGGCGCAAGCGGGCGGAGGAGCGCCGGATCCACCAGCGTGTGGACGCCATCCTGGCTGAAATGCGTCAGCTGGAGAGGAGGCGCAGGGGGAGGGGGGTGGTGAGGAAGGGGGGGGCCGCAGGGGGTGAGGAGGTGGAGGGGGGTGAGGAGGTGGAGGGGGGTGAGGAGGTGGAGGGGGGTGAGGAGGTGGAGGGGGGTGGAGAGACTCCAGCAGAGCGGGTGAGGCACTCACTCAGATACTCACTTACTTAGACACTCACTCAGACACTCACTCACTCAGACACTCACTCAGACACTCACTCAGACACTCACTCAGACACTCACTTACTCAGACACTCACTTACTCAGACACTCACTCACTCAGACACTCACTCACTCAGACACTTACTCAGACACTCACTCAGACACTCACTTACTCTAGATTTGAAGCTTTCATGACTGCAAGGATCCATACTCTTTGGTTCTATTCGGTAAAGTCACGTAGGTAAAAAAATAAAACAACAAAAATCACGACGTTTCGGCCTCAACACAAGTGGCCTTCATCAGGTGAAGGGATCAGACTGTCACGAGGACAGCGTTGGAGTGAAGAAGACAGTCCAGCCCAGGTCGCGTCCTTTTAAGCTGTGTGGGAGGAAACAAAACGCTTTGACAAAGGAATTAGCATTAAATGACCGAAAAGCACAAGAGGACCGGCACGGAGGGGGGGAGTTTACAAATGTAGGTGTGAAGTGAAATAAGCTTCTATGAAAGTTTGGTATGTCACTATTTGGATAAATACTATTGAAAATTAGTTTAAATGTTTGGTATGATTTAGAACATCTTTCCAATGGTTGCTTAATTTGAAACCATCTTCTCGGTTGAAATTGTGTCTGTGTTTGTAAATCTGAATTGCCTCGTGGATAAATCTCTGATGAAAACCTGTGGGTTTACAAAGGACCTCGGTATCGGAGAAAATTATATCGTGATCACCCACAGCGTTGTAACAGTGGTCAGCTACGGCAGAAGAATTCGTTCTGCCGTGTTTCAAATCTGATTTGTGCTCGCGAATTTGGTCAGAGACATGTCGTTTCGTCTCCCCGATATAGCAGTCACCACAGGTGCAGCTCAATTTGTAAACCCCGGGGTACTGTAAGTCAGGAATGACATCCTTCACGGATGGGATCAGGTCACGAATTTTGTGTACTGTATTGAACCGGACCAGGATCTTGTGTTTGTTCAGAATTTTGGAGATCTTTTTAGTAACGTCTGCTATATATGGTAGTGTGATGGTTTTGATCAGAGTATCAAGTGGTTGTTTCTGTATGGAGGGAGAAACAGCTTGGCGGATGGTACGGTCAGAGTATCCGTTTCTCTTGAGGGCCAGATGTACATGTTTTAATTCACTGGTCAGGTGGTGTTGGTCCGAAATGCAATGAGCCCTGTGGTATAACATTTTGATGAGAGAATTTTTTTGAGTTGGGTGGTGGTGGGAATCAGGTTTCAAGTAGGAATCTGTGTGGGTGGGTTTCCTATAGACAGAATGTCCCAATGAGTCCTCTCAAACAAAACATCCATGAATGGCAGCTTGCCATCTTTCTCCACTTCCATGGTGAATTTGATGGCGGGATGTCTGGAATTGATGTGGTGTAGGAAAAGGTTTAAAGCTGGGAGGCCATGTGGCCAAGTGACGAAAGTGTCGTCCACATATCTCTTCCACAGGGAAGGTCTGAGGGTGGAAGTCTGGATGGCATCTGATTCAAATTTCTCCATGAAAACATTGCCTATCACTGGTGACAAGGGAGAACCCATGGGGGTACCCTCATTTTGTTTGTAGAAGGTGCCATTCCAAGTAAAGTAGATATTGGTGAGGCAGTGCCTAACCAGCGCAGGTGTATCGGGGTCTAGTCCATGTTGTACCAAATTTTAAATTATTTCAATGGTATCAGGTACTGGGACCTTGGTGAACAGAGAGACCACATCGAAGCTGACAAGGATATCGTCAGCGGACAGTACAACATCTTTGACCATAGAGACCAATTGGGCTGAGTTAAGTACTGCTGAGGCGGTCTTGCCAGTGAAAGGCAGCAAGGTATCTGACAGAAAACGTGCTAGCTTATACGTAGAGGAGTTGATCGTGGATATGATGGGTCGTAGTGGGGTACCTTCTTTATGAATCTTGGGGAGACCATAGAATCTAGGGGGTCTTGCAGCAGAAGGTTTCAGGGAAGGGCGTTTAGTTGGTTCGATTAGGGAGGTCGAACTTGTGATGATGTTGTTGGTTTTTATCGTTAGGCTATTATCACTCAGACACTCACTCACTCAGACACTCTCAGACACTCTCTCACTCAGACACTCACTCAGACACTCATTCACTCAGACACACACTCACTCAGACACTCACTCACTCAGACACTCACTCACTCAGACACTCACTCCGACACTCACTCACTCAGTGTGTTGTGTCAGTGTGTGTCAGTGTGTGTGTCACACACACACACACTGACACACACACACTGACACACTGGCACACACACACACTGACACACACACACTGACACACACATACTCTCCCTGCTTCTCTGTCTCACCTCAGGACCCCATCACTGCCACCACCGCCACCACTGCCACCACCGCCACCACCGCCGCCACCGCCGCCACGTCACCCTCCTCGTCAGCCGCCCAGGAAAAAGCGATGCCCGACGGAGCCCTGGGGACCCCCGGCGGTCCCGGGTCGGAGGGACGGGCGGGAGGAGAGGGACAGGCAGAGGAGGATGAGGAGGTGGAGGGAGGAGGTGGAGGGAGGTCGTCATCGGTGGTGGTGGCTCGCCTGCTGCGGAAGGCGCATGTGCAGCTGCAGCAGATCAAGAGTGACAAGCAGGTCTGTGTGTGTGTCTGGCTGTGTGTGTCTGTGTGTGTGTCAGGCAGCGGGCAGAGATGATCTCCCAAGCGAAATGCTGAGGGAGGGTGGCGTTTGTGCACAGACTGCCCTATATGACATCATAGCAGTCTGGACCACTGGACGGGTTCCGCAGGATTGGAAGGATGCCCTCATGGTCCCCCTCTTTTTTGAAGGGGGACCGCACAGACTGTAACAACTACAGGGGCATCTCACTCCTCAGTGTGCCGGGAAAGGTCCTGGCAAGGATTATTCAACATCGCCTCGCCAGGCACGCTGAGGAGAGGCTTACGGAGCCCCAATGCGGTTTCAGGAAAGGGCGGTCCTGCACAGATGCCATATTTTGTGTCCGTCTGCTACAGCAGAGGTGTAGGGAATTCCAGCAAGACCTACATCTCTGCTTTATTGACCTGGTCAAGGCCTATGATACCATCAGTAGGCCTGGGCTCTGGGTTGTTCTTTGTGCTTTTGGAGTCCCTGACCCTCTGCTCACGATCATTAAGGACCTTCATGATGGTGAGCGGGCCCGGGTAAAATTACGTGGCCGGGAGTCCGAGCCATTCCCTGTACACCTTGGGGTGCGACAGGGATGTCCTCTGGCTCCCACATGATTTAACATCTTTTTTGACCACGTAGTTCGTGAAGCCTTCAATAGTTGTACTGGGGGAATCTCCATATGATACAGATATAATGGGAGGCTGATCGATGCCCAGGTGCGGTCAAGGGATGGCTCCCTATTGCTCAACCACGTTATGTATGCCGATGATTTGGTAATAGCTGCTCATTCAGAGGAGGAGTTGGAGACGCTGCTGCTTAGACTGGAGCGTGCCACTAAGAGATGGGGCCTTACCATCAGCCCCACCAAAACTAAGCACCTGCCTGGGTATTTTTTTACCATCAGACACTCCACCCCCACAAATCCCAATCGGTGATGGGGCAGTTGTGGAGAGAATGGAGAGTTTCCCATACCTGGGCAGTGTGTTTATGACCGGCTCCAGTTTAACAGCAGAGGTCTCACTCCGAATCAGTCGAGCGGCAATATCTTTTCATCGGTTGCGTAACGCTGTGTGGAAGCTACCTGGTCTGTCGCTCCGCACTAGGCTTCAGGTCTTCTCGGCCACGGTCATTCCCTCCCTTCTCTACGCTTGCGAAACGTGGACCCCCCTAATGGAACATCTTCGCCGGTTAGAAACATTTAGGCTGGCCTGCCTACGATCCATCCTGGGTTTAACCAGGCTGGATTGTGTGAGGAGCTCACAAATCCTTGAAAGATCTGGGCACGGTCCCATTAGTGAGCTACTCCGGCAGGCAAGGCTGCGTTGGCTGGGTCATGTAGCCCGCATGCCCAGCCCACCGCATGCCGAAACAGCTTTTGTTCGGCCGGATCGAGGGGGCTAAACGGGCGCGGCACGGGCTAGAGAAGAGATGGAGTGACGTGGTACAGGAGGACGTGGAGCTGATTGTACTTGCCGATGACCGGTACCAGCGGTGTCAAGATCGGCCTCTGTGGAGGAGGCTCGTGAAGGATGCTACTGGGCAGTTGGAGGCAGTCACCCTCCAAAAACAACGGAGGGCGGAGGAGCGACGCTCACAACAACGAGCGGAGCGCCGGGTGGCTGAAGCACAGCAGGTTGGCACAGTAGGGGGCAAAGGTGGTGCATCAGCCAGTCATCTCAGTCAATCGACCCGTGGCACCTGGGTCTGCCCCGTGATCTGCCAGCGGGCAGTCGACACTTCACGTGGCGTCAAGGTGCACATAGCCTGGCACAAGCGTCGTGGTGACGTCACCGCCACTTAGTGGCGAATGCCGGTTGTTGTTGTTGTGTGTGTCTCTGTGTGTCTGTGTGTGTGTCTGTGTGTGTGTCTGTGTGTCTGTGTGTGTGTCTGTGTGTCTGTGTGTGTGTCTCTGTGTGTGTGTCTGTGTGTCTGTGTGTGTGTCTCTGTGTGTGTGTCTGTGTGCCTGTGTGTGTGTCTCTGTGTGTGTGTGTGTGTGTAGCGGTTAGCGCGCTGCACTATGAACCTGGCGACCCGGGTTCGATTCCCGCTCACGGCCAACACCAGTGACGATTATCTGAACCGGTCCCGGGCCTCCCCTAGGTCGACTCAGCCTCAAATGAGTACCTTGTGCGGTGTGTAAACATCGTCACTAGGGAGACAAAGGCGGTCGGGCGTGGTGCTGGCCACCCACCCCCTCGTGTACCGTTACCGGCCTTCATAGGTGCTCGCTAACAGCACTTGCCCCTACAGTCTGTTAAGGCTATACGGGGGATCTTTGTCTTTGTGTGTGTGTGTCCGTGTGTGTGTCTGTGTGTTGAGGAAGGCTTCACGTGCCACTGCAGCAGGCCCCTCCCTCTCACCTCTCTTTGCTCCCTCTCTCCCCGCAGTCCGTCCGCCATCTCAAGCCCGACTCCTCGCTTCCCTCGTCAGCTGCCCATCACCTCACCGCCACCACCGCCGCCACCACCGCCGCCACCGCCGCCACCACCGGCCCGGCAGTCCGGCCTGCCCGTGGTGCCCCGGTGTCGACGCGCTCCTCCCGCACGCGGTGCGATCACTCCGGCAACAACGCCGGCGCCGCCGCCACCGCCGCCACCACCGCCGCCACCACCGCCGCCATTGCCGCCACGGCCCAGCTGGCAGTGGTGCCGGTGGCGGCTTTGTTGCCGGCAGCGGCAGCGAGTACTTCAGCGAGTACTTCAGCGAGTACTTCAGCGAGTACTTCAGCGAGCTCGGAGAGTACTTCAGCGAGTACTTCAGCGAGTACTTCAGCGAGTACTTCAGCGAGTACTTCAGCGAGTACTTCAGCGAGCATGGCAGCGAGCATGGCAGCGAGCACGGCAGCGACGGGGGAGAGAGTTGGGATGAAGAGGAAACTGGATGCACTCTTCTCAAGGGAGGGAGGAAAGAGAGACAGCAGGTTCCAGGTGAGGGTCTCCTCTGTGTGTGTGTCTGTGTGTGTGTGTCTGTGAGTGTCTGTGTGTGTCTGTGTGTGTCTGTGTGTGTCTGTGTCGCGGTGCTGGACGGGCAACTCTGTCGTGGACAATGCTGTGGGGGGAGGGCCAATTCCGATTGGCTCCTCCCCTCATGGCGTCTGTGTCCACCACAGTGGCTAAACGGGGGCTCTGGACGGGTGCGAGGGGCTGGTAACCCCTCCACCTTTCCATTAATTACCACTAACCCACGAGTTAAACTGAAATATGGAACTAATAAGCTTGTGCCGGAGACCCCGGGGGGGACAGGTGTCTATGACGTCTTCTGGTCAAACCCCAATTGGCGGAGCCAGAAGATTGAATCTCTACCCTCAGGGCTCCTCCAGAAACAACGAAAAGCCACTTCGTGTGGCCACGTGGAATGTTCGAACGCTCACTGCGGAGGAGAGGCTGCCACTCCTCTGTCGGGAGCTGGACCGGTACCGCCTGGATCTCTGTGGCATTCAGGAGGTCCGGTGGACCTGTTCTGGCTCCTGCCACCATAAGGGGTGGACAGTCCTTTACTCGGGGCAGCAGACTGCCAAACAACAGGGTGTGGCTCTTCTTTTGAACAAAAGAATGAAGGGGGCGTGGGAGCGTGGCGGTGAGGTGTGGGAAGCTGTAAGCTCCAGGCTACTTTGGGCTCGCCTTCCCATCAACCGGAGGCGAGGAGTGGTGGTCGTGGTTACTTATGCCCCCACCGAAGACGAACATCCGTGGAGGGATGCAGGCAAAGTCGATGAGTCAGATGCCTTCTATGACCTCCTGTCACAGGTGCTGGCTAAAGTGGCACCTCGGGATAGAGTCATCAAGTTGGGTGACTTCAATGCCCGAGTTGGTCATGATGCTGGCACCTGGTCTGGAGTGATTGGAGGGCATGGGCCAGATCAGCTCAATAACAATGGTAGGAGGCTGCTAGATTTTTGTGCAGCCCATGGGCTTGTAATTACCAACACGCTCTTCCGGCATCAGCGCATCCACACAACATCATGGATGCATGCCGGGTCCAAGCAAGAACATCTGCTGGACTACATAGTGACGGACCAGTGGATGCGAGCCCATGTCCTTGACACCAGGACCTACCGTGGAGCTGATCTGCCCTCTGACCATCGACTAGTTATCTGTAAGATGCACCTGCCATTCTTCCACTCCGGTGGTGGGTGTACACCCAGAACCCCATTCCATGGTCTCAGTTATCTGATGAAAGTTGCAAGCGAGAATTTCATCATCGCTTGCGGCTGGGATTGGCATCATCCCCCACTCCTCCTGATGTTGAGGGTAGATGGGCAAGGTTTAGGACTGTGACTCATGCAGCTGCAATGGCTGCTTTGGGTACGCGATCCACACCTCCCCAGAGACCCTGGCTGACAGAGGAGGTGTTCAGGATGGTTGAGAAAAAGCGACAGGCCCACTGTCATCAGCTACAGAATCCCACATCAGAGAATGAGGAGGCTTACCGCAGCTTTCGCTCGGAGGTTCAGAGAGCCGTGAGGCACTGCAAGGATGGGTGGTGGTCGCGGGCTGCAGAGGAGATGGAGTCTGCCTCAGTGGCCCGTGATCACAAATCTCTATTTAACTCCATCAAAAAAGTAACCTGCAGCGCCACACCTATTACCATCATTAGGGGAAAAAACGGTGATCCAATCTCCGACCCCCAGGAACAGGTTTGCAGATTTGCTGAGCATTTCTGTGAGGTCCTGGGGGAGGGAAAATCCCTCAGCCAGGAAAACATCGTGGCACAAAGTGAGGATGACCCTGCTGATGCTGCTGGGCCTCAAATATTGGAAGAAGTCACCCGCTGTGAGTGGCTGGCTGAAGTACCATCTGTTGAGGAAGTACTGACGGCGATCCGGAGTCTGAGACCAGGAAAGGCAGCGGGCAGAGATGATCTCCCAAGAGATGCTGAGGGAGGGTGCCGTTTGTGCACAGACTGCCCTATATGACATCATAACAACAGTCCGGACAACTGGACGGGTTCCACAGGATTGGAAGGATGCTCTGTTGGTCCCCCTCTTTAAGAAGGGGGACCGCACAGACTGTACCAAGTACAGGGGCATCTCACTCCTCAGTGTGCCAGGAAATGTGCTGGCAAGGATTATTCAACATCGCCTTGCCAGGCACGCTGAGGAGGGGCTTGCGGAGCCCTAATGCGGTTTCAGGAAAGGGCGGTCCTGCACAGATGCCATTTTTTCTGTCCGTCTGCTACAGTAGAGGTGTAGGGAATTCCAACAAGACCTACATCCTCTTTGGTTCTATTCGGTAAAGTCACGTAGGTAAAAATAAAATAACAAAAAAGCACGACGTTTCGGCCACAACACAAGTGGCCCTCATCAGGTGAAGGGACCGGACTGTCCAGAGGACAGCGTTGGAGTGAAGACAGCAAGCCCAGGTCGCGTCCTTTAAGCTGTGTGGGAGGAAACAAAAAACGTCTTGACAAAGGAATTAGCATAACAATGATGTACTGGAGCGGCACGGAGGCGGGGAGGAGTTTACATAATGTTGGTGTGAAGGCAAATAAGCTGCTGTGAAAGTTTGGAATACCACTACTTGAATAAATATACTGTATCATTGAAAATTAGTTTAATGTTTTGGTTTGATTGAGAACATCTTTCCAATGATTGCTTAATTTGAAAACCATCCTATCGGTTGAAATTGTGTCTGTGTTTGTTAATCTGAATTGCCTCGTGGACAAATCTCTGATAAAAACCCGTGGGTTTGCAGAGAACCTTGGTATCGGAGAAAACTATATCGTGATCACCCACAGCGTTGTAACAGTGATCAGCTACGGCAGAATAATTCGTTCTGCCGTGTTTCAAATCTGATTTGTGCTCGCGAATTCGGTCAAAGACATTTCGTTTCGTCTCCCCGATATAGCAGTCACCACAGGTGCAGCTCAATTTGTAAACCCCGGGGTACTGTAAGTCAGGAACGACATCCTTCACAGATGGAATCAGGTCACGGATTTTGTGTACTGTATTGAACCGGACCTCTCATCAAAACGTTATACCACAGGGCACATTGCATTACGGACCAACACCACCTGACCAGTGAATTAAAACATGTACACCTGGCCCTCAAGAGAAACGGATACTCTGACCGTACCATCCGCCAAGCTGTTTCTCCCTCCATACAGAAACAACCACTTGATACTCTGATCAAAACCATCACACTACCATATATAGCAGGCGTTACTAAAAAGATTTCCAAAATTCTAAACAAGCACAAGATCAAGGTCCGGTTCAATACAGTACACAAAATTCGTGATCTGATCCCATCCGTGAAGGATGTCATTCCTGACTTACAGTACCCCGGGGTTTACAAACTGAGCTGGACCTGTGGTGACTGCTATATCGGGGAGACGAAACGAAATGTCTCTGACCAAATTCGCGAGCACAAATCAGATTTGAAACACGGCAGAACGAATTATTCTGCCGTAGCTGATCACTGTTACAACGCTGTGGGTGATCACGATATAGTTTTCTCCGATACCAAGGTTCTCTGCAAACCCACGGGTTTTTTATCAGAGATTTGTCCACGAGGCAATTCAGATTTACAAACACAGACATAATTTCAACCGAGAGGATGGTTTCAAATTAAGCAATCATTGGAAAGATGTTATAAATCAAACCAAAACATTAAACTAATTTTCAATGATACAGTATATTTATTCAAGTAGTGGTATTCCAAACTTTCACAGCAGCTTATTTGCCTTCACACCAACATTATGTAAACTCCCCCCCCCCGCCTCCGTGCCGCTCCAGTACATCATTGTTATGCTAATTCCTTTGTCAAGGCGTTTTTGTTTCCTCCCACACAGCTTAAAGGACGCGACCTGGGCTTGGCTGTCTTCACTCCAACGCTGTCCTCTGGACAGTCCGGTCCCTTCACCTGATGAGGGCCACTTGTGTTGTGGCCGAAACGTCGTCGTGATTTTTTGTTATTTTATTTTTACCTACGTGACTTTACCGAATAGAACCAAAGAGTATGGATCCTTGCAGTCACGAAAGCTTCAAATCTAGAAGATCTACATCTCTGCTTTATTGACCTGGTCAAGGTCTATGATACCATCAAGTAGGCCTGGGCTCTGGGTCGTTCTTCGTGCTTTTGGAGTCCCTGACCCTCTGCTAACGATCATTAAGGACGTTCATGATGGTGAGCGGGCCCAGGTAAAACTACGTGGCCGGAAGTCAGAGCCATTCCCTGTACACCTTTGGGTGCGACAGGGATGTCCTCTGGCGCCCACATTATTTAACATCTATTTTGACCACGTTTGTTCATGAAGCCTTCAATAGCTGTACCGGGGGAATCTTCATTTGGTACAGATATAATGGGAGGCTGATCGATGCCCGGGTGCGGTCAAGTGATGGCTCCCTATTGCTCAACCACGTTATGTATGCCGATGATTTGGTAATAGCTGCTCATTCAGAGGAGGAGTTGGAGACGCTGCTGCTGAGACTGGAGCGTGCCACTAAGAGGTGGGGCCTTACCATCAGCCCCACCAAAACTAAGCACCTGCCTGGGTTTTTTGTACCATCGGACACTCCACCCCCACAACTCCCAATCGGGGATGGGGCAGTTGTGGAAAGAGTGGAGAGTTTCTCATACCTGGGCAGTGTGCTTATGACCGGCTCCAGTTTAACCGCAGAGGTCTCACTCCGAATCAGTCGAGCGGCAATATCTTTTCATCGGTTCCGTAACGTTGTGTGGAAGCTACCTGGTCTGTCGCTCCGCACTAAGCTTCAGGTCTTCTCGGCCACGGTCATTCCCTCCCTACTCTACGCTTGCGAAACGTGGACCCCCCTAATGGAACATCTTCGCCGGTTAGAAACATTTAGGCTGGCCTGCCTACGATCCATCCTGGGTTTAACAAGGCTGGATTGTGTGAGGAGCTCACAAATCTTTGAAAGATCTGGGCAGGGTCCCATCGGTGAGCTCCTCCGGCAGGCAAGGCTGCGTTGGCTGGGTCATGTAGCCCGCATGCCCAGCCACCGCATGCCGAAACAGCTTTTGTTCGGCCGGATCTAGGGGGTTAGACAGGCGCGGCACGGGATAGAGAAGAGATGGAGTGACGTGGTACAGGAGGACGTGGAGCTGAGTGGACTTGCCGATGACCGGTACCAGCGGTGTCAAGATCGGCCTCTGTGGAGGAGGCTCGTGAAGGACTCTACTGAGCAGTTTTAGGCAGTCGCCCTCCAACAACAACGGAGGGCGGAGGAGCGACGCTCACAACAACGAGCGGAGCGCCGGGTGGCTAAAGCACAGCAGGTTGGCACAGTAGGGGGCACAGGTGGTGCATCAGCCAGTCATCTCAGTCAGTCGACCCGTGGCACCTGCTGGGTCTGCCCCGTGACCTCCTGCCTGCGGGCGTTCGACACTTCACGTGGCCTCAGGGTGCACATAGCCTGGCACAAGCGTCGTGGTGACGTCACCGCCACTTAGTGGCGAATGGCGGTTGTTGTTGTTGTTGTCCGTGTGTGTGTCTGTGTGTGTGTCTGTGTGTGTGTGACTGTGTGTGTGTCTCTCTCACGGTGTCTCTGTCTGTCTGTCTCCGTCTGCCTCTGTCTCTCCCCGCGTCTCACCACAGCCCCAGGTGTCCGTGTCTCCCTGCACGGCCCCCGTGCCCGGACCGCGCATCAAGCACGTCTGCCGGCGAGCTTCCATCGCCCTCGGCATGCCGCGTGCCACCCTGGCGCCCGCCGCCGCCGCCGCCGCCGCCGCCGCCGCCGTCGTCACGCCGGTCGCCGGCACCGTCGCCGGCGGCTCTCCCGCCACGCCGGTCGCCGGCGGGAGCGGTGGCGCCGCGGTGGAGGGAGCCGGCGTGGCGCTGCCCACGCTGGGCGCGCTGCTGCCCACGCTGAGCGCGCTGCTGCCCACGCTGAGCGCGCTGCCCGCGTACGAGAGGGCCGCGGTGTTGGCCGACTTGGACGGTGCGTGGGGAGCGGGGTGTGGTGGTGGGTGGGTGTGGGTGGGTGTGGTGGGTAGGGTGGGTAGGGTGGGTGGGTTAGTGGGTGAGTGGGTGAGTGGGTGGGTGAGTGAGTTGGTGAGTGAGTGATTGAGTGGGTGATTGGGTGAGTGAGTGGGTGATTGGGTGAGTGAGTGGGTGATTGGGTGAGTGAGTGGGTGAGTGAGTGGGTGGGTTGGTGAGTGAGTGGGTGATTGGGTGAGTGAGTGGGTGGGTGAGTGAGTTGGTGAGTGGGTGATTGGGTGAGTAAGTGAGTGGGTGAGTGAGTGGGTGATTGGGTGAGTAAGTGAGTGGGTGAGTGAGTGGGTGATTGGGTGAGTAAGTGAGTGGGTGAGTGAGTGGGTGATTGGGTGAGTGAGTGGGTGAGTGAGTTGGTGAGTGGGTGGGTTGGCGAGTGAGTGGGTGATTGGGTGAGTAAGTGAGTGGGTGAGTGAGTTGGTTAGTGGATGAGTGAGTGGGTGGGTGGGTGGGTGAGTGAGTGGGTGGGTGAGTGATTGAGTGGGTGATTGGGTGAGTGGGTGGGTGGGTGAGTGAGTGAGTCGGTGGGTGGGTGGGTTGGCGAGTGAGTGGGTGATTGGGTGAGTAAGTGAGTGGGTGAGTGAGTGGGTGATTGGGTGAGTAAGTGAGTGGGTGAGTGAGTTGGTGAGTGGGTGGGTTGGCGAGTGAGTAAGTGAGTGGGTGAGTGAGTTGGTTAGTGGGTGAGTGAGTGGGTGGGTGAGTGAGTGGGTGGGTGGGTGGGTGAGTGAGTGGGTGATTGGGTGAGTAAGTGAGTGAGTGGGTGATTGGGTGAGTAAGTGAGTGGGTGAGTGAGTGGGTGGGTGGGCGGGTGAGTGAGTGATTAAGTGGTTGAGTGAGTGGGTGGGTGAGTGAGTGAGTGATTGGGTGGTTGAGTGAGTGAGTGGGTGAGTGAGTGAGTGGGTGAGTGAGTGAGTGGGTGGGTGAGTGAGTGGGTGAGTGAGTTGGTGAGTGAGTGGGTGAGTGATTTGGTGAGTGAGTGGGTTAGTGAGTGGGTGAGTGATTTGGTGAGTGTCATTTCCCCACCAGACCGTTCTTCGGTGGACGACTCTGAGGAACCGGACTACCCGGTGCAGATCATCAAGGCACGGCACTCCGGGCGTGGCAACGACGCTCACCACGGTGCTCACCACGGTACTCACCACGACACTCACCACTACACTCACCATGACGCTCACCTGTGTCTGTCTGTGTATCTTAGTGTGTGCGTGTCTGTGTGTGTCTGTGTATCTGAGTGTGTGTCTGTGTGTGTCTGTGTATCTGAGTGTGTGTCTGTGTGTGTCTGTTTGTGTCTGTGTATCTGAGTGTGTGTCTGTGTGTGTCTGTGTGTGTCTGTGTGTCTGTGTATCTGAGTGTGTGTCTGTGTATCTGAGTGTGTGTCCGTGTGTCTGTGTGTGTCCGTGTGTCTGTGTGTGTCTGTGTATCTGAGTGTGTCTGTGTATCTGAGTGTGTGCGTGTCTGTGTGTGCGTGTCTGTGTGTGTGTGTCTGGGTGTGTGTGGGTGGGTGTCTGTCTGTGTGTGTCTGTCTGTCTGTGTGTGTCTGTCTGTCTGTGTGTGTGTCTCTGTCTGTCTGTGTGTGTCTGTCTGTCTCTCTGTGTGTGTGTCTGTCTGTGTGTGTGTCTGTCTGTGTCTCTGTCTGTGTGTGTGTCTGTGTGTGTCTGTCTGTGTGTGTCTGTCTGTGTGTGTGTCTGTCAGTGTGTGTCTGTCTGTGTCTCTGTGTGTGTCTGTCTGTCTGTCTGTGTGTGTCTGTCTGTCTTTGTGTGTCTGTGTGTCTCTGTGTGTGTCTCTGTGTGTGTGTCTCTGTGTGTCTCTCTGTGTCTCTGTGTGTGTCTGTGTGTGTACCACAGTGCCGGTCGCCTTAATAATAAGCGCTGTTCGCTAACAGCACTTGCCGCTACAGCCTGCTACAGCCTACACGGGGAACTTTGTCTGTGTATCGGTGCTGCCGCTGCTGCTGCTGCTGCTGCTGCTGCTCACAGCCACTTGCCCCGACAGTCTTGAGGCTACACGGGGGACCTTTGTCTGTGGTGGTGGCGGCGGCGTTGCAGGGCGAGGTGGTGGTGGTGGTGGTGCGGGGCGAGGTGGCTCTGACGGTGAGGGAGGAGATGCGGGGAGCTGCTCGGAGCTCCGCGACACGGATTACCTCCCACCTGGATCGCACACAGCCTCGCGCTCCCACCACAAACACAAAGGTAGCACACACACACAGTACATACACACTAACACACACACAGTACACACAGTACATACACACACTGACACACAGTACACACTAACACACACTAACACACACAGCCTCACGCTCCCACCACAAACACAAAGGTAGCACACACACACACTCAGACACACACACACAGTACACACACACACACACTAACACACAGTACACACTAACACACACAGCCTCACGCTCCCACCACAAACACAAAGGTAGCACACACACACACTCAGACACTCACACACACAGTACACACTAATACACAGTACACACACACACTAACACAGTACATACACACACTAACACACACAGCCTCACGCTCCCACCACAAACACAAAGGTAGCACACACACTAACACACAGACACACTAACACACAGTACACACACACACTCACACACACTCACTAACACACAGTACACACACACTAACACACAGTACACACACACACACACTAACACACACAGCCTCACGCTCCCACCACAAACACAAAGGTAGCACACACACACACTCAGACACTCACACACAGTACACACAGTACATACACACACTAACACACAGTACACACACACACACACTAACACACACAGCCTCGCGCTCCCACCACAAACACAAAGGTAGCACACACACACACTCAGACACTCACACACACACTAACACACTCACACACTAACACACTCACACACAGTACATACACACACTAACACACACACACTAACACACACCACACACTCACACACACACACAGTACATACACAGTACACACACACTAACACACTCACACACAGTACACACACACAGCCTCACGCTCCCACCACAAACACAAAGGTAGCACACACACACTCAGACACACACAGTACACACACACACACACTCACACACAGTACACACTAACACACAGCCTCACGCTCCCACCACAAACACAAAGGTAGCACACACACTAACACACAGACACACTAACACACAGTACACACACACACTCACACACACTCACTAACACACAGTACACACACACTAACACAGTACACACACACACAGCCTCACGCTCCCACCACAAACACAAAGGTAGCACACACACACACTCAGACACACACACACACACACTAACACACTCACACACTAACACACTCACACACAGTACATACACACACTAACACACACACACTAACACACAGTACACACACACACACAGTACACACACACACAGCCTCGCGCTCCCACCACAAACACAAAGGTAGCACACACACACACACAGTACATACACACACTAACACACACACAGTACACACACACACTAACACACAGCCTCACGCTCCCACCACAAACACAAAGGTAGCACACACACACACTCAGACACACACACACTCACACTAACACACTCACACACTAACACACTCACACACAGTACATACACACACTAACACACACACACTAACACACAGTACACACACACACAGTACACACACACACAGCCTCGCGCTCCCACCACAAACACAAAGGTAGCACACACACACTCAGACACACACACACTCACACTAACACACTCACACACTAACACACTCACACACAGTACATACACACACTAACACACACACACTAACACACACACACTAACACACAGTACACACACACACACAGTACACACACACACAGCCTCGCGCTCCCACCACAAACACAAAGGTAGCACACACACACACTCAGACACTCACACACACACTAACACACTCACACACTAACACACTCACACACAGTACATACACACACTAACACACACACACTAACACACACCACACACTCACACACACACAGTACATACACAGTACACACACACTAACACACTCACACACAGTACACACACACAGCCTCACTCTCCCACCACAAACACAAAGGTAGCACACACACACTCAGACACTCACACGCAGTACACACACACACACTAACACACACTAACACACACACACAGTACATACACACACACTAACACACACACAGCCTCACGCTCCCACCACAAACACAAAGGTAGCACACACACACTCAGACACACTCAGTACATACACACACTAACACACAGTACACACACACACACTCACACACAGTACACACTAACACACAGCCTCACGCTCCCACCACAAACACAAAGGTAGCACACACACTCAGACACACACAGTACACACACACACACTAACACACAGTACACACACAGCCTCACGCTCCCACCACAAACACAAAGGTAGCACACACACACACACTAACACACTCACACACTAACACACAGTACACACTAACACACACACACTCACACACTAACACACAGTACATACACACACTAACACACACTAACACACACACACTAACACTAACACACACAGCCTCACGCTCCCACCACAAACACAAAGGTAGCACACACACACACTCAGACACTCACACACAGTACACACACACACACACTAACACACACACACAGTACATACACACACACTAACACACACACAGTCTCACGCTCCCACCACAAACACAAAGGTAGCACACACACACACACTCACACACACACAGTACATACACACACTAACACACAGTACACACACACACACACTAACACATACACACACTAACACACACAGCCTCACGCTCCCACCACAAACACAAAGGTAGCACACACACACACACACTAACACACACACACTAACACACACACAGCCTCACGCTCCCACCACAAACACAAAGGTAGCACACACACACACTAACACACACAGCACACTAACACACAGTACACACTAACACACACACACACTAACACACACACACACTAACACACAGTACACACACACACTAACACACACACACAGTACATAAACACACAGCCTCACGCTCCCACCACAAACACAAAGGTAGTACACACACTCACACACAGTACACACTCTAACACACACACTAACACACTCTAACGCACACGCACACTCACACATGCACACTCAAACACACACTCACACACGCACACTCAAACACACACACATGCACACTCAAACACTCACACACACGCACACTCAAACACACACTCACACACGCACACACACGCACACTCACACATGCACACTCAAACACACACACTCACACATACGCACACACTCACACACACACACTCACGCACTCACACACTCTTCACGCACACACACACATGCACACTCACACACTCACACACACACTCACACACGCACTCACACACGCACACTCACACACTCAAACACACACTCACACACTCACACACACACACATTCACACACTCACGCACACACTCACACACGCACACTCACGCACACACACACAACGTAATGCACACTGTTTACACACACACAGTAGCCCGAACGTCGCCCGAACGTCGCCCGAACGTCGCCCGAACGTCGCCCGAACGTCGCCCGAACGTCGCCCGAACGTCGCCCGGACGTGGCGTTGACCGTGGCGTGAACGCGCGACCATCCTCCCCCCCCCTCCCCGGCAGGCTCGTCGGCCCCCGCGTGCAAGCGGTCGCGTGCAGGCCGCTGCGGTGAATGTGCCCCGTGCCTCGTGGCCGACGACTGCGGCCGCTGCCCTCACTGCCTGGACAAGCCCAAGTTCGGGGGCAACAACGTGCGGAAGCAGTGCTGCATGTGAGTCACACACACACACTCATATACACACACATAGACACACACACAGACACACATGGACACACACACAGTACACACACACATAGACACACATACAGTCACACACACACACATACACACAGACACACACACAGACACATACACACACAGACACACAGACACACACACAAACACACACACACACAGACATATACACACAGACACACACACACATACACAGTACACACACACACAGACACTCATATACACACACACACTCATATACACACATAGACACACACACACACTCACTGGTACACACACACATAGACACACTGTCACACACAGTGGCACACACACACAGTCACACAGACACACACACACACACTCACACACACACACTGTCACACACACACACTCGTACACACACACACACTCGTACACACACACTGGCACACACACACAGTGGTACACACTCACACACACAGTGGCACACACAGACACACACACACACTGGCACACACACACGTACACACACACACACTCATATACACACACACACTCATATACACACATAGACACACACACACTCACTGGTACACACACACATAGACACACACACACACAGTGGTACACAGACACACACACAGACACACACAGACACACACATAGACACACACATAGACACACACACAGACACACACACAGACACACACACAGACACACTGTCACACACTCATATACACACACACAGACACACACACACAGTGGTACACACTCACACACACAGTGGCACACACACACACACAGACACACACACACACTGGTACACACACACATACACACACACTGTCACACACAGTGGTACACAGACACACACACAGACACACACAGACACACACATAGACACACACACAGACACACTGTCACACACTCATATACACACACACAGACACACAAACACAGTGGTACACACTCACACACACAGTGGCACACACACACACAGACACACACACACACACTGGTACACACACATAGACACACACACACACTGTCACACACACTCACACACTCATATACACACACACACAGACACACACACTCACACACACAGACACACACAGACACACACAGTGGTACACACACACGTACACACACACTGTCTCACACACACACACACAGTGGTACACACACACTGGCACACAGACACACTCACTGGTACACACTCACACACACGTACACACACACACACACACTGGTACACACACACACACACACTGGTACACACACACACACAGTATACACAGTACACACACTGGCACACACACACACAGTGGCACACAGACACACTCACTGGTACACACTCACACACACAGACACAGACACACACACACAGACACACACACATTCATATACACACACACACTGATACACACACACACTGGTACACACACACTCACACACACACACTCACACAGACACACACACACACTGGCATACACACACACAGTGGCGCACACACACACACACACACTGGTACACACACACACACTGGTACACACACACACTGGCACACACACACACTGACACACACACACACTGGTACACTGACACACACACACACACTGGTACACACACACACTGGCACACACACACACTGGCACGCACGCACACACACACACACTGGCACGCACGCACACACACACACTGACACACACACACTGGCACGCACGCACACACACACACACTGGCACGCACGCACACACACACACTGGCACACACACACTCAATCACCAACCCATCCACTCACCCACCAACCCATTGACTCAGCCACTTACCCACCCACTCACCCACCCACTCACCCACCCACCCACTCACCCACCCACTCACTCACCCACCCACTCACCCACTCACCCACCCACCCACTCATCCACCCACCCACTCACTCACTCACCCACCCACCCACTCACCCACCCACTCACCCACCCACTCACTCACTCACTCACCCACTCACCCACCCACTCACCCACTCACTCACCCACTCACTCACCCACTCACTCACTCACCCACCCAATCACCCTCCTAACCACTCACCCACTCACCCATCCACCCACTCACCCATCCACCCACTCACCCACCCATCCACCCACCCACTCACCCACCCACCCACTCACTCCACCCAATCACTCACTCACTCACTCATCCACCCACCCACCCACTCACTCACCCACCCACTCACCCACCCACCCACCCACTCACTCACCCACTCACCTGGTCTAGCGGTGATGGTGTTGGTGGTAGTGATGATGGTGGGGGTAGTGGTGGTGTAGTGGTGGTGGTAGTGTAGTGGTGGTGGTGTAGTGAACGTCCCCAGCACTGGGGGAGAGACAAAGACGGCCGGGCGTGGTGCTGGTGGCCACCCACCCCCTCTGTGTGTGTAGCCACAGTGCCGGTAGCCTTCATAGGTGCTGTTGCTGCTACTCGCTACTAACAAACAGCACTTGCCCCTACAGTCTGTCTATATATACTGTGTGTGTCTGTGTGTGTGTGTGTGTCTGTGTGTGTGCGTGTCTGTGTGTGTGTCTGTGTGTGTCTGTGTGTCTGTCTATGTGTGTGTCTGTATGTGTGTGTGTGTCTGTGTGTGTGTGTGTCTGTGTGTGTGTGACTGTGTGTGTGTGTGACTGTGTGTGTGTGTCTGTGTGTGTGTGTGTCTGTGTGTGTGTGTGACTGTGTGTCTGTGTGTGTGTGTCTGTGTGTGTGTGTGTGTGTCTGTGTGTGACTGTCTGTGTGTGTGTCTGTGTGTGACTGTCTGTGTGTGTGTGTGTGTCTGTGTGTGTCTGTGTGTGACTGTCTGTGTGTGTGTGACTGTGTGTGTGTCTGTCTGTGTGCCTTCCACAGACACAGAAAATGCGTGAATCGACAAAAAACAAAGGGGTTCGGAAAGAAAACGACAGAGTGTGAGACACACACAGACACACACACAGACACACACACACAGACACACAGACACACACAGACACACACAGACACACACAGACACACACAGACACTCACACACAGACACACACACACAGACACACACAGACACACACACACAGACACACACAGACACACACAGACACACACACAGACACACACACACAGACACACACAGACACACATGGACACACACACAGTACACACACACATAGACACACATACAGTCACACACACACATACACACAGACACACACACAGACACATACACACACAGACACACAGACAGACACACAAACACACACACACAGACATATACACACAGACACACACACATACACAGTACACACACACACAGACACAAAAACAAAGATAAAGATCCCCCATATAGCCTTAACAGACTGTAGGGGCAAGTGCTGTTAGCAAGCACCTATGAAGGCCGGAACGGTACACGAGGGGGTGGGTAGCCAGCACCACGCCCGACCGCCTTTGTCTCCCCAGTGGCGATGTTTGCACACCGCACCAGGTACTCATTTGAGGCTGAGTCGACCTAGGGTAAGCCCAGGACCGGTTCAGATAATCGTCACTGGTGTTGGCCGTGAGCGGGAATCGAACCCGGGTGGCCAGGTTCATAACGCAGCGTAGCGCTAACCGCTACACTATCGCTCCCCACAACATACACACACACACAGACACACACACACAGACACACACACACAGACACACACACACACAGACACACACAGACACACACAGACACACACATACATCATGTCTCTGTGTCTCTCTGTCTCTGTGTCTCTCTGTGTCTTTCCCAATGTCTCTCCGCCAATGTCTCTGTGTCTCTCTCCCACTGTCTCTCTGTGTCTGCGTGTCTCTGTGTCTGTGTCTCTCTCACACTGTCTCTCTGTCTCTGTGTCTGTCTCCCACTGTCTCTCTGTGTCTGCGTGTCTCTGTGTCTCTGTGTCTGTGTCTCTGTGTCTGTCTCCCACTGTCTCTCTGTGTCTGCGTGTCTCTGTGTCTGTGTGTCTGTGTTTGTGTCTCTCTCCCACTGTCTCTCTGTTTCTCTGTGTCTCTCTGTGTCTCTCTGTTTCTCAGTCTCTGTGTCTGTGTGTCTCTGTGTCTCCGAATGTCTCTCTGTGTCTTTGTCTTTGTGTTTCTCCCAATGTCTCTCTGTGTCAGCGTGTCTCTGTCTCTGTGTCTCTCTCCCAATGTCTCTCTGTCTCTCTGTGTCTCTGTGTCTCTCTGTCTCTGTGTCTCTCTCCCACTGTCTCTGTCTCTTTGTGTCTCTGTGTGTCTGTCTCTGTGTCTCTCTGTCTCTCTGTGTCTCTGTGTCTCTCTCCGAATGTGTCTCTGTGTCTCTCTCCCACTGTCTCTCTGTGTCTGTGTCTCTCTGTCTCTCTGTCTCTGTGTCTCTGTGTCTCTCTCCCAATGTCTCTCTGTATTTCTGTGTCTCTCTGTGCCTCTGTCTCTGTCTCTCTGTGTCTCTCTGTGTGTGTCTCTGTCTCTGTCTCTCTGTCTGTGTCTCTCTGTCTATCTGTGTCTGTGTCTCTCTGTCTCTGTGTCTCTCTGTGTCTCTGTGTTTCTGTGTCTCTCTGTATCTCTGTTTCTGTGTCTCTGTGTGTGTGTCTCTGTCTCTCTGTCTGTGTCTCTGTGTCTCTCTCCCACTGTCTCTCTCTCTGTGTCTCTGTGTCTCTCTCCCAATGTTTCTCTGTCTCTGTGTCTCTCTGCGTCTCTGTGTCTCTCTATGTCTCTGTGTGTCTGTGTCTCTCTGTGTCTCTGTCTCTGTGTCTCTCTGTGTCTCTGTCTCTCTCTCTGTGTCTCAGTGCTGAAAGGAAAACTCCTGGACTCTGTTCCGTTGGAATCGCAAAGACTTCCCTTGCAAGGGGCACGCATCAAGGTCAGTGTAGTGTATAGTGTAGTGTATAGTGTAGTGTGTAGTGTATAGTGTAGTGTATAGTGTAGTGTATAGTGTAGTGTATAATGTAGTGTATAGTGTAGTGTATAGTGTAGTGTATAGTGTAGTGTATAATGTAGTGTATAGTGTAGTGTATAGTGTAGTAGTGTATAGTGTAGTAGTGTATAGTGTAGTAGTGTAGTGTATAGTGTAGTAGTGTATAGTGTAGTGTATAGTGTAGTGTATAGTGTAGTAGTGTATAGTGTAGTAGTGTATAGTGTAGTGTATAGTGTAGTGTATAGTGTAGTAGTGTATAGTGTAGTAGTGTAGTAGTGTGTAGTGTAGTAGTGTATAGTGTAGTAGTGTATAGTGTAGTAGTGTATAGTGTAGTAGTGTATAGTGTAGTGTAGTCGTGTATAGTGTAGTGTAGTAGTGTATAGTGTAGTGTAGTCGTGTATTGTGTAGTGTGTAGTGTAGTGTATAATGTAGTCGTGTATAGTGTAATAGTGTAGTAGTGTATAGTGTAGTTTTGTAGTGTATAGTGTAGTTTAATAGTGTGTAGTGTATAGTGTAGTAGTGTATAGTGTAGTAGTGTGTAGTGTATAGTGTAGTAGTGTATAGTGTAGTCGGGTATAGTGTAGTGTGTAGTGTAGTAGTGTATAGTGTAGTGTAGTAGTGTAGTTTAGTAGTGTGTAGTAGTGTATAGTGTAGTGTAGTAGTGTAGTTTAGTAGTGTGTAGTGTAGTAGTATGTAGTGTATTGTAGTGTAGTGTATAGTGTGTGCTATCTGTGTCTGTACTATCTGTGTGTGTGTGATTGTGTGTGTGTGACTGTGTGTATGTGTGTGACTGTGTGTGTGTGACTGTGTGTGTGACTGTGTGTGTGTGACTGTGTGTGTGTGTGTGACTGTGTGTGTGTGTGACTGTGTGTGTGTGTGACTGTGTGTGTGTGTGTGACTGTGTGTGTGTGTGTGACTGTGTGTGTGTGACTGTGTGTGTCTCTGTGTGTGTGACTGTGTGTGTGTCTTTGTTTTTTGTGTGACTGTGTGTGTCTCTGTGTGTGTCTCTTTGTGTGTGACTATGTGTGTCTGTGTGTGTGTGACTGTGTGTGACTGTGTGTGTGTGACTGTGTGTAGGTTCCAGGCCAGCCTCGTCCGATGGTTCCTGGGCCTGGCCACGTGGAGCGAACTCCTCTCTGTCGCCTGGAGAACTGTCGCAGGAGAGGTGGTGAGGATGGTGGTGGTGAGGATGGTGGTGGTGGTGGTGAGGATGGTGGTGGTGGCGAGGGTGATGGTGGGGGGTGGTGGTGGTAGTGGTGAGGATGGTGGTGGTGGTGAGGATGGTGGTGCTGGTGAGGATGGTGGTGGTAGCGAGGGTGATGGTGGGGGTGGTGGTGGTGGTGGGGGTGGTGGTAGTGGTGAGGATGGTGGTGGTAGTGGTGAGGATGGTGGTGGTGGTGGTGGTGAGGATGGTGGTGTTGGTGAGGATGTGTGGCAAAACAACCCCCTACCTCCTCGCGGTGCCGGACGGGCAACTCTGTCGTGGACAGTGCTGTGGGGGGAGGGCCAATTCCGATTGGCTCCTCCCCTCATGGCGTCTGTGTCCACCACAGTGGCTAAACGGGGGCTCTGGACGGGTGCGAGGGGCTGGTAACCCCTCCACCTTTCAATTAATTACCACTAAACCACGAGTTAAACTGAAATATGTAACTAATAAGCTTGTGCTGGAGGCCCCGGAAGGACAGGCATTTATGACGTCTCCTGGCCAAACCCCAATTGGCGGAGCCAGGAGATTGAATCTCTACCCTCGGGGCTCCTCCAGAAACAACAAAAAGCCACTACGGATGGCCACGTGGAATGTTCGAACACTCACTGCGGAGGAGAGGCTGCCACTCCTCTGTCGGGAGCTGGACCGGTACCGCCTAGACACCAGGACCTACCGTGGAGCTGATCTGCCCTCTGACCATCGACTAGTCATCTGTAAGATGCGCCTGCCATTCTTCCACTCCAGTGGTGGGTGTACACCCAGGACCCCATTCCAACCTAAAGTGGCCTGGTCTCAGTTATCTGATGAAAGTTGCAAGCGAGAATTTCATCATCGCTTGCGGCTGGGATTGGCATCGTCCCCGACTCCTGATGTCGAGGGTAAATGGGCGAGGTTTAGGACTGTGACTCATGCAGCTGCAATGGCTGCTTTGGGTACGCAGTCCAGACCTCCCCAGAGACCCTGGCTGACAGGAGGTGTTCAGGATGGTTGAGAAAAAGCGACAGGCCCACTGTCATCGGCTACAGAATCCCACGTCAGAGAATGAGGAGGCTTACCGCAGCCTTCGCTCGGAGGTTCGGAGTGCCGTGAGGCGCTGCAAGGATGGGTGGTGGTCGCGGGTTGCTGAGGAGATGGAGTCTGCCTCAGTGGCCCGCGATCACAAATCTCTATTTAACTCCATCAAAAAAGTAACCTGCAGCGCCACACCTATTGCCATCATTAGGGGAAAAAACGGTGATCCAATCTCCGACCCCCAGGAACAGGTTTGCAGATTTGCTGAGCATTTCTGTGAGGTCCTGGGGGAGAGAAAATCCCTCAGCCAGGAAAACATCGTGGCACAAAGTGAGGATGACCCTGCTGAAGCTGCGGTGCCTCAAATATTGGAAGAAGTCACCCCCTGTGAGTGGCTGGCTGAAGTAGCATCTGTTGAGGAAGTACTGACGGCGATCCGGAGTCTGAGACCAGGAAAGGCAGCGGGCAGAGATGATCTCCCAAGCGAAATGCTGAGGGAGGGTGGCGTTTGTGCACAGACTGCCCTATATGACATCATAACAACAGTCTGGACCACTGGACGGGTTCCGCAGGATTGGAAGGATGCCTTGGTGGTCCCCCTTTTTAAGAAGGGGGACCGCACAGACTGTAACAAGTACAGGAGCATCTCACTCCTCAGTGTGCCGGGAAATGTTCTGGCAAGGATTATTCAGCATCGCCTTGCCAGGCACGCTGAGGAGAGGCTTGCGGAGCCCCAATGCGGTTTCAGGAAATGGCAGTCCTGCACAGATGCCATATTTTCTGTCCGTCTGCTACAGCAGAGGTGTAGGGAATTCCAGCAAGACCTACATCTCTGCTTTATTGACTTGGTCAAGGCCTATGATACTATCAGTAGGCCTGGGCTCTGGGTTGTTCTTCGTGCTTTTGGAGTACCTGACCCTTTGCTCACGATCATTAAGGACCTTCATGATGGTGAGCGGTCCCGGGTAAAACTACGTGGCCGGGAGTCAGAGCCATTCCCTGCACACCTTGGGGTGCGACAGGGATGTCCTCTGGCTCCCACATTATTTAACATCTATTTTGACCACGTAGTTCGTGAAGCCTTCAATAGCTGTACCGGGGGAATCTCCATATGGTACAGATATAATGGGAGGCTGATCGATGCCCGGGTGCGGTCAAGGGATGGCTCCCTATTGCTCAACCACGTTATGTATGCCGATGATTTGGTAATAGCTGCTCATTCAGAGGAGGAGTTGGAGACGCTGCTGCTGAGAATGGAGCGTGCTACTAAGAGGTGGGGCCTTACCATCAGCCCCACCAAAACTAAGCACCTGCCTGGGTATTTTGTACCATCGGACACTCCACCCCCACAACTCCCAATCGGTAATGGGGCAGTTGTGGAGAGAGTGGAGAGTTTCCCATACCTGGGCAGTGTGCTTATGACCGGCTCCAGTTTAACAGCAGAGGTCTCACTCCGAATCAGTCGAGCGGCAATATCTTTTCATCGGTTGCGTAACGCTGTGTGGAAGCTTCCTGGTCTGTCACTCTGCACTAAGCTTCAGGTCTTCTCGGCCACGGTCATTCCCTCCCTTCTCTACGCTTGCGAAACGTGGACTCCCCTAATGGAACATCTTCGCCGGTTAGAAACATTTAGGCTGGCGTGCCTACAATCCATCCTGGGTTTAACCAGACTGGATCGTGTGAGGAGCTCACAAATCCTTGAAAGATCTGGGCAAGGTCCCATTGGTGAGCTCCTCCGGCAGGCAAGGCTGCGATGGCTGGGTCATGTAGCCCGCATGCACAGCCACCGCATGCCGAAAACAGCTTTTGTTCGGCCGGATCGAGGAGGCTAAACGGGCACGGCACGGGCTAGAGAAGAGATGGAGTGATGTGGTACAGGAGGATGTGGAGCTGAGTGGACTTGCCGATGACTGGTACCAGCGGTGTCAAGATCGGCCTCTGTGGAGGAGGCTCGTGAAGGACGCTACTGGGCAGTTGGAGGCAGTCGCCCTCCAACAACAACGGAGGGTGGAGGAGCGATGCTCACAACAACGAGCGGAGCGCCGGGTGGCTAAAGCACAGCAGGTTGGCACAGTAGGGGGCACAGGTGGTGCATCAGCCAGTCATCTCAGTCAGTCGACCCGTGGCACCTGCTGGGTCTGCCCCGTGACCTCCTGCTAGCGGGCGTTCAACACTCCACGTGGCCTGAAGGTGCACATAGCCTGGCACAAGCGTCGTGGTGATGTCACCGCCACTTAGTGGCGAATGGCGGTTGTTGTTGTTGGTGAGGATGGTGGTGGTGATGTGGATGGTGGTGGTGAGCGTGGTGGTGGTGCTGGTGCTGGGCGTGGTGGTGTAGTGGTGGTAGTGGTGTTAGTGGTGGTGTTGTTGATTGGTGGTGGTGAGCGTGGTGGTGATCGTGGTGGTGTTAGTGGTGGTGTTGTTGATTGTGGTGGTGGTGAGCGTGGTGGTGTAGTGGTGGTGTAGTGGTGATCGTGGTGGTGTAGTGGTGGTGTTGTTGATTGTGGTGGTGGTGGTGAGCGTGGTGGTGTAGTGGTGTTAGTGGTGGTGGTGGTGTTGTTGATTGTGGTGGTGGTGGTGAGCGTGGTGATGAGCGTGGTGGTGTAGTGGTGGTGTTGTTGATTGTGGTGGTGGTGAGCATGGTGGTGTAGTGGTGGTAGTGGTGTTAGTGGTGGTGGTGTTGTTGATTGTGGTGGTGGTGTTGTTGATTGTGGTGGTGGTGTTGTTGTTGATTGTGGTGGTGGTGTTGTTGTTGATTGTGGTGTTGTTGTTGATTGTGGTTTTGGTGGTGTTAGTGGTGGTGTAGTGGTGGTGTTAGTGGTGGTGTAGTGGTGTTGTTGTTGATTGTGGTGGTGGTGGTGTTAGTGGTGGTGTAGTGGTGGTGTTGTTGATTGTGGTGGTGGTGTTGTTGTTGATTGTGGTGGTGGTGGTGAGCGTGGTGGTGGTGTAGTGTTGTTGTTGTTGATTGTGGTGGTGTTGTTGTTGTTGATTGTGGTGTTGTAGTTGATTGTGGTGGTGTTGTTGATTGTGGTGGTGTTGTTGTTGATTGTGGTGGTGGTGTAGTGGTGTTAGTGGTGGTGTTGTTGTTGATTGTGGTGTTGTTGTAGTTGATTGTGGTGGTGTTGTTGATTGTGGTGGTGTTGTTGTTGATTGTGGTGGTGGTGTTGTGGTGTTAGTGGTGGTGTTGTTGTTGATTGTGGTGTTGTTGTTGTTGATTGTGGTGTTGTTGTAGTTGATTGTGGTGGTGTTGTTGATTGTGGTGGTGTTGTTGTTGATTGTGGTGGTGGTGTAGTGGTGTTAGTGGTGGTGGTGTTGTTGTTGATTGTGGTGGTGTTGTTGTTGATTGTGGTGGTGGTGGTGGTGTAGTGGTGTTAGTGGTGGTGTTAGTGGTGGTGTTGTTGTTGATTGTGGTGGTGTTGTTGTTGATTGTGTTGGTGGTGTTGTTGATTGTGGTGGTGGTGGTGGTGGTGGTGTTAGTGGTGGTGCAGTGGTGTTGTTGTTGATTGTGGTGGTGGTGTTGTTGTTGATTGTGGTGTTGTTGATTGTGGTGGTGGTGGTGTAGTAGTGTTAGTGGTGGTGTTAGTGGTGGTGTTGTTGTTGATTGTGGTGTTGTTGGTTGTGGTGGTGTTGTTGATTGTGTTGTTGTTGATTGTGGTGTTGGTGACTTCCAATGCGTCCGCTCTCCCCCAGGTGGCTTCGCTCTGCCCAACTCGGACCCCAAGGTTCAACGTCTCCTCAGCAAACGCAAGGCCAAGGAGGTGAGCCTGGGGCTACCCTAGAGGCAGCTGCCCCTGGGGCTACCCTAGAGACAGCTGCCCCTGGGGCTACCCTAGAGACAGCTGCCCCTGGGGCTACCCTAGAGACAGCTGCCCCTGGGGCTACCCTAGAGACAGCTGCCCCTGGGGCTACCCTAGGGACAGCTGCCCCTGGGGCTACCCTAGGGACAGCTGCCCCTGGGGCTACCCTAGAGGCAGCTGCCCCTGGGGCTACCCTAGAGACAGCTGCCCCTGGGGCTACCCTAGGGACAGCTGCCCCTGGGGCTACCCTAGGGGCAGCTGCCCCTGGGGCTACCCTAGAGACAGCTGCCCCTGGGGCTACCCTAGAGGCAGCTGCCCCTGGGGCTACCCTAGAGACAGCTGCCCCTGGGGCTGCCCTAGAGACAGCTGCCCCTGGGGCTGCCCTAGAGACAGCTGCCCCTGGGGCTACCCTAGAGACAGCTGCCCCTGGGGCTACCCTAGGGACAGCTGCCCCTGGGACTACCCTAGGGGCAGCTGCCCCTGGGGCTACCCTAGGGGCAGCTGCCCCTGAGGCTACCCTAGAGACAGCTGCCCCTGGGGCTACCCAAGGGACAGCTGCCCCTGAGGCTACCCTAGAGGCAGCTGCCCCTGGGGCTACCCTAGAGGCAGCTGCCCCTGAGGCTACCCTAGAGGCAGCTGCCCCTGGGGCTACCCTAGAGGCAGCTGCCCCTGGGGCTACCCTAGAGACAGCTGCCCCTGGGGCTACCCTAGAGACAGCTGCCCCTGGGGCTACCCTAGAGACAGCTGCCCCTGGGGCTACCCTAGGGACAGCTGCCCCTGGGGCTACCCTAGAGACAGCTGCCCCTGGGGCAACCCTAGAGACAGCTGCCCCTGGGGCTACCCTAGGGACAGCTGCCCCTGAGGCTACCCTAGGGACAGCTGCCGCTGGGGCTACCCTAGGGACAGCTGCCCCTGGGGCTACCCTAGAGACAGCTGCCCCTGGGGCTACCCTAGAGACAGCTGCCCCTGGGGCTACCCTAGATACAGCTGCCCCTGGGGCTACCCTAGATACAGCTGCCCCTGGGGCTACCCTAGAGACAGCTGCCCCTGGGGCTACCCTAGAGACAGCTGCCCCTGGGGCTACCCTAGAGACAGCTGCCCCTGGGGCTACCCTAGAGACAGCTGCCCCTGGGGCTACCCTAGAGGCAGCTGCCCCTGGGGCTACCCTAGGGACAGCTGCCCCTGGGGCTACCCTAGGGACAGCCCCTGGGGCTACCCTAGGGACAGCTGCCCCTGGGGCTACCCTAGAGACAGCTGCCCCTGGGGCTACCCTAGAGGCAGCTGCCCCTGGGGCTACCCTAGGGACAGCTGCCCCTGGGGCTACCCTAGAGACAGCTGCCCCTGTGTGTGTCTGTGTGGGGAGCGGTAGTGTAGTGGTTAGCGCTATGCTGCGCTATGAACCTGGCGACCCGGGTTCGATTCCCGCTCACGGCCAACACCAGTGACGATTATCTAAACCGGTCCCGGGCCTCCCCTAGGTCGACTCAGCCTCAAATAAGTACCTGGTGCGGTGTGTCAACATCGCCACTGGGGAGACAAAGGCGGTCGGGCGTGGGGCTGGCCACCCACCCCCTCGTGTACCGTTCCGGCCTTCATAGGTGCTTGCTAACAGCACTTGCCCCTACAGTCTGTCAAGGCTATATGGGGGATCTTTGTGTGTGTGTGACTGTGTGTGTGTCTGTGTGTTTGTGTCTGTGTGTGTGTGTCTGTGTGTTTGTGTCTGTGTGTGTCTGTGTGTGTGTGTGACTGTGTGTGTGTGACTTTGTGTGTGTGTCTGTGTGTGTCTGTGTGTGTGTGTCTGTCTGTGTGTGTGACTGTGTGTGTGTGTGACTGTGTGTGACTGTGTGTGACTGTGTGTGTGACTGTGTGTGTGTGACTGTGTGTGTGTGTGTGACTGTGTGTGTGTCTGTGTGTGTGTGACTGTGTGTGTGCGTGACTGTGTGTGTGTGACTGTGTGTGTGTGTGTGCGTGACTGTGTGTGTGTGCGTGACTGTGCGTGACTGTGTGTGACTGTGTGACTGTGTGACTGTGTGTGTGTGACTGTGTGTGTGTGTGTGTGTGACTGTGTGTGTGTGACTGTGTGTGTGTGACTGTGTGTGAGTGACTGTGTGTGACTGTGTGTGTGTGTCTGTGTGTGTGTGACTGTGTGTGTGTGTGTGACTGTGTGTGTGTGACTGTGTGTGACTGTGTGTGTGTGACTGTGTGTGTCTGTGTGACTGTGTGTGACTGTGTGTGTGTGACTGTGTGTGACTGTGTGTGTGTGACTGTGTGTGACTGTGTGTGTGTGACTGTGTGTGACTGTGTGTGTGTGACTGTGTGTGACTGTGTGTGTGTGTGACTGTGTGTGTGTGTGACTGTGTGTGTGTGACTGTGACTGTGTGTGACTGTGTGTGTGTGACTCTGTGTGACTGTGTGTGTGACTGTGTGTGTGTGTGTCTGTGTGTGTGTGACTCTATGTGACTGTGTGTGTGTCTGTGTGTGTGTGACTGTGTGTGTCTGTGTGTGTGCAGGCTGGAGTGGCAGGCGACGCTCCGTTCCGCTCGGCCACGGAGAGGGGTGAGGACGGAGTGCCACAACAACAACAACATCAGCAACATCAACAACATCATCAACAACAACATCATCATCACCAACAACAACATCAACAACAGCAGCCAGCAGCAGCAGCAAACAGATCCGGTGACAGCTCTCACACACGCCTCCGTGTGGACTTCAAGGTATGCACAGACGCACGCACACACAGTCACACACACACACACAGACACACACAGACACACACACAGACACACACACAGACACACACACAGACACACACACAGACACACACACACACTCAGACACACACTCAGACACACACACACTCAGGCACACACACGCACACACGCACATAGACACACAACAACAACAACCGCCATTCGCCACTAAGTGGCGGTGACGTCACCACGACGCTTGTGCCAGGCTATGTGCACCCTGAGGCCACGTGGAGTGTCGAACGCCCGCTAGCAGGAGGTCACGGGGCAGACCCAGGTGCCACGGGTCGACTGACTGAGATGACTGGCTGATGCACCACCTGTGCCCCCTACTGTGCCAACCTGCTGTGCTTTAGCCACCCGGCGCTCCGCTCGTTGTTGTGAGCGTCGCTCCTCCACCCTCCGTTGTTGTTGGAGGGCGACTGCCTCCAACTGCCCAGTAGCATCCTTCACGAGCCTCCTCCACAGAGGCCGATCTTGACACCGCTGGTACCAGTCATCGGCAAGTCCACTCAGCTCCACGTCCTCCTGTACCACGTCACTCCATCTCTTCTCTAGCCCGTGCCGTGCCCGTTTAGACCCTCAATCCAGCCGAACAAAAGTTGTTTGGGCATGCGGTGGCTGGGCATGCGGGCTACATGACCCAGCCATCGCAGCCTTGCCTGCCGGAGGAGCTCACCGATGGGACCTTGCCAAGATCTTTCAAGGATTTGTGATCTCCTCACACAATCCAGCCTGGTTAAACCCAGGATGGATCGTTTGCAGGCCAGCCTAAATGTTTCTAACCGGCAAAGATGTTCCATTAGGGGGGTCCACGTTTCGCAAGCGTAGAGAAGGGAGGGAATGACCGTGGTCGAGAAGACCTGAAGCTTAGTGCGGAGCGACAGACCAGGTAGCTTCCACACAGCGTTACGCAACCGATGAAAAGATATTGCCGCTCGGCTGATTCGGTGATTCGGAGTGAGACCTCTGCTGTTAAACTGGAGCCGGTCATAAGCACACTGCCCAGGTATGGGAAACTCTCCACTCTCTCCACAACTGCCCCATCACCGATTGGGAGTTGTGGGGGTGGAGTGTCCGATGGTACAAAATACCCAGGCAGGTGCTTAGTTTTGGTGGGGCTGATGGTAAGGCCCCACCTCTTAGTGGCACGCTCCAGTCTCAGCAGCAGCATCTCCAACTCCTCCTCTGACTGAGCAGCTATTACCAAATCATCAGCATACATAACGTGGTTGAGCAGTAGGGAGCCATCCCTTGACCGCACACACACGTGTCTCTCTGTGTGTCTCTCTCTTCGTGTCTCTCTGTGTGTCTCTCTCCCCGTGTCTCTCTTCCCGTGTCTCCTCGTCTCTCTCTCTCACCGTGTCTCTCTCCCCGTGTCTCTCTCCCCGTGTCTCTCTTCCCGTGTCTCCCCGTCTCTCTCTCTCACCGTGTCTCTCTCCCCGTGTCTCTCTCACCGTGTCTCTCTTCCCGTGTCTCCCCGTCTCTCTCTCTCACCGTGTCTCTCTCCCCGTGTCTCTCTCCCCGTGTCTCTCTCACCGTGTCTCTCTCACCGTGTCTCTCTCCCCGTGTCTCTCTCCCCGTGTCTCTCTCACCGTGTCTCTCACTCACCGTGTCTCTCTCACCGTGTCTCTCTCACCGTGTCTCTCTCCCCGTGTCTCTCTCCCCTTGTCTCTCACCGTGTCTCTCTCTCTCTCACCGTGTCTCTCTCACCGTGTCTCTCTCACGTGTCTCTCTCTCACCGTGTCTCTCTCACCGTGTCTCTCTCACCGTGTCTCTCTCTCCCCGTGTGTCTCTCTCCCCCCGTGTGTCTCTCTCCCCAGGAGCAGCGCTCTCTGGATGCTGTGTGGGACAGCGGTGGGGTGAGTCTCCGTGTCTCTCTCACCGTGTCTCTCTCCCCGTGTCTCTCTCTCCCCGTGTCTCTCTCTCCCCGTGTCTCTCTCCCCGTGTCTCTCTCCCCGTGTCTCTGTCCCCAGGAGCAGCGCTCTCTGGATGCTGTGTGGGACAGCGGTGGAGTGAGTCTCCGTGTCTCTCTCACCGTGTCTCTCTCCCCGTGTCTCTCTCCCCGTGTCTCTCTCTGTCCGTGTCTCTCTCCCCGTGTCTCTGTCTCCAGGAGCAGCGCTCCCTGGATGCTGTGTGGGACAGCGGTGGGGTGAGTCTCCGTGGCTCTCACCGTGTCTCTCTCTCTCTCTCACCCCGTGTCTCTCTCCCCGTGTCTCTCTCTTCGTGTCTCTCCCCGTGTCTCTGTCCCCAGGAGCAGCGCTCTCTGGACGCTGTGTGGGACAGCGGTGGGGTGAGTCTCCGTGTCTCTCTCTCTCACCGTGTCTCCCTCCCCGTGTCTCTCTCTCCCCGTGTCTCTCTCTCCCCGTGTCTCTCTCTCCCCGTGTCTCTCTCTCCCCGTGTCTCTCTCTCCCCGTGTCTCTCTCTCCCCGTGTCTCTCTCTCCGTGTCTCTCTCTCCCCGTGTCTCTGTCCCCAGGAGCAGCGCTCTCTGGATGCTGTGTGGGACAGCGGTGGGGTGAGTCTCCGTGTCTCTCTCTCTCACCGTGTCTCTCTCCCCGTGTCTCTCTCTCCCCGTGTCTCTCTCCCCGTGTCTCTCTCTCCCCGTGTCTCTCTCTCCGTGTCTCTCTCTCCCCGTGTCTCTCTCTCCCCGTGTCTCTCTCACCGTGTCTCTCTCTCCCCGTGTCTCTCTCTGTCCGTGTCTCTGTCCCCAGGAGCAGCGCTCTCTGGATGCTGTGTGGGACAGCGGTGGGGTGAGTCTCCTCACCACCGACGATGCGGCCCTCTCCCTGGGCTCTGAGTGCTTCCTGTGCGCCAGCATCGGCCTGCTGCCAGTAAGACGCCGTTCACTCACTGTGTGTCACTGTGTGTCACTCACTGTGTGTCACTGTCACTCACTGTGTGTGTCTTACTGTGTGTGTGTCACTGTCACTGTGTGTGTCACTGTGTGTCACTGTGTGTGTGTCACTGTCACTCACTGTGTGTGTCTTACTGTGTGTGTGTCACTGTCACTGTGTGTCACTGTGTGTGTCACTGTGTGTCACTCACTGTGTGTCACTCACTGTGTGTGTCACTGTGTGTGTCACTGTCACTGTGTGTGTCACTGTGTGTCACTCACTGTGTGTCACTCTTTGTGTGTCTGTGTGTGTGTCACTCACTGTGTGTGTCACTGTGTGTCACTGTCACTGTCACTGTGTGTGTCTCACTGTGTGTGTGTGTGTCTGTGTGTCACTCACTGTGTGTCTGTGTGTGTCACTGTCACTGTGTGTGTCACTGTGTGTGCGCCAGCATCGGCCTGCTGCCAGTAAGACGCCGTTCACTCACTGTGTGTCACTGTGTGTCACTGTGTGTCACTCACTGTGTGTCACTCACTGTGTGTCTGTGTGTGTGTCTTACTGTGTGTGTGTGTGTCACTGTCACTGTGTGTGTGTGTGTCACTGTGTGTGTGTGTCACTGTGTGTGTCTTACTGTGTGTGTCTTACTGTGTGTGTCTTACTGTGTGTGTCACTGTGTGTCACTGTGTGTGTCTCACTGTGTGTGTGTCACTGTGTGTCTGTGTGTCACTGTCACTGTGTGTGTGTGTCACTGTGTGTGTGTCACTCACTGTGTGTCTGTGTGTGTCACTGTGTGTGTGTGTGTCACTGTGTGTGTGTGTCACTGTCACTGTGTGTCTGTGTGTCACTCACTGTGTGTCACTGTGTGTCACTGTCACTGTGTGTCTGTGTGTCACTGTCACTGTGTGTGTGTGTCACTGTGTGTGTGTCACTCACTGTGTGTCTGTGTGTGTCACTGTGTGTGTGTGTGTCACTGTCACTGTGTGTCTGTGTGTCACTCACTGTGTGTGTGTGTCACTGTCACTGTGTGTCTGTGTGTCACTGTCACTGTGTGTGTGTGTCACTGTGTGTGTCACTCACTGTGTGTCTGTGTGTGTCACTGTGTGTGTGTGTGTGTCACTGTCACTGTGTGTCTGTGTGTCACTCACTGTGTGTGTGTGTGTCACTGTCACTGTGTGTCTGTGTGTCACTGTCACTGTGTGTGTGTGTCACTGTGTGTGTGTCACTCACTGTGTGTCTGTGTGTGTCACTGTGTGTGTGTGTGTCACTGTCACTGTGTGTCTGTGTGTCACTCACTGTGTGTGTGTGTCACTGTCACTGTGTGTGTCTCTCACTGTCACTGTGTGTGTGTGTCACTGTGTGTCACTGTGTGTGTGTGTGTCTTACTGTGTGTCACTGTGTGTGTGTGTGTCTCACTGTGTGTGTGTCACTGTGTGTGTCTCACTGTGTGTGTCACTGTGTGTGTGTCTCTCACTGTCACTGTGTGTGTGTGTCACTGTGTGTGTGTGTGTCTCACTGTGTGTCACTGTGTGTGTGTGTCTCACTGTGTGTGTCTCACTGTGTGTGTCTCACTGTGTGTGTCTCACTGTGTGTGTCTTACTGTGTGTGTGTCTCACTGTGTGTGTCACTGTGTGTGTGTCTCTGTGTGTGTCACTGTGTGTGTGTGTCTCACTGTGTGTGTGTCTCACTGTGTGTGTGTCTTACTGTGTGTGTGTCTCACTGTGTGTGTGTGTCTCACTGTGTGTGTGTGTGTCACTGTGTGTCTCACTGTGTGTGTCTCACTGTGTGTGTCTCACTGTGTGTGTGTCTCACTGTGTGTGTGTCACTGTGTGTGTGTCACTGTGTGTGTCTCACTGTGTGTGTCTCACTGTGTGTGTGTGTGTCACTGTGTGTGTGTGTGTGTGTCTTACTGTGTGTGTGTGTGTGTCACTGTGTGTCTGTGTGTGTGTCTTACTGTGTGTGTGTGTCTTACTGTGTGTGTGTGTCTTATTGTGTGTGTGTGTGTCTTATTGTGTGTGTGTGTGTCACTGTGTGTGTGTCACTCACTGTGTGTCTGTGTGTGTCACTGTGTGTGTGTGTGTCACTGTGTGTGTGTGTCACTGTCACTGTGTGTCTGTGTGTCACTCACTGTGTGTCACTGTGTGTCACTGTCACTGTGTGTCTGTGTGTCACTGTCACTGTGTGTGTGTGTCACTGTGTGTGTGTCACTCACTGTGTGTCTGTGTGTGTCACTGTGTGTGTGTGTGTCACTGTCACTGTGTGTCTGTGTGTCACTCACTGTGTGTGTGTGTCACTGTCACTGTGTGTCTGTGTGTCACTGTCACTGTGTGTGTGTGTCACTGTGTGTGTCACTCACTGTGTGTCTGTGTGTGTCACTGTGTGTGTGTGTGTGTCACTGTCACTGTGTGTCTGTGTGTCACTCACTGTGTGTGTGTGTGTCACTGTCACTGTGTGTCTGTGTGTCACTGTCACTGTGTGTGTGTGTCACTGTGTGTGTGTCACTCACTGTGTGTCTGTGTGTGTCACTGTGTGTGTGTGTGTCACTGTCACTGTGTGTCTGTGTGTCACTCACTGTGTGTGTGTGTCACTGTCACTGTGTGTGTCTCTCACTGTCACTGTGTGTGTGTGTCACTGTGTGTCACTGTGTGTGTGTGTGTCTTACTGTGTGTGACTGTGTGTGTGTGTGTGTCACTGTGTGTGTGTCACTGTGTGTGTCTCACTGTGTGTGTCACTGTGTGTGTGTCTCTCACTGTCACTGTGTGTGTGTGTCACTGTGTGTGTGTGTGTCTCACTGTGTGTCACTGTGTGTGTGTGTCTCACTGTGTGTGTCTCACTGTGTGTGTCTCACTGTGTGTGTCTCACTGTGTGTGTCTTACTGTGTGTGTGTCTCACTGTGTGTGTCACTGTGTGTGTGTCTCTGTGTGTGTCACTGTGTGTGTGTGTCTCACTGTGTGTGTGTCTCACTGTGTGTGTGTCTTACTGTGTGTGTGTCTCACTGTGTGTGTGTGTCTCACTGTGTGTGTGTGTGTCACTGTGTGTCTCACTGTGTGTGTCACTGTGTGTGTCTCACTGTGTGTGTCTCACTGTGTGTGTGTCTCACTGTGTGTGTGTCACTGTGTGTGTGTCACTGTGTGTGTCTCACTGTGTGTGTGTGTGTCACTGTGTGTGTGTGTGTGTGTCTTACTGTGTGTGTGTGTGTGTCACTGTGTGTCTGTGTGTGTGTCTTACTGTGTGTGTGTGTCTTACTGTGTGTGTGTGTCTTATTGTGTGTGTGTGTGTCTTATTGTGTGTGTGTGTGTCACTGTGTGTGTGTGTGTGTCTTACTGTGTGTGTGTCACTGTGTCACTGTGTGTGTGTCTCACTGTGTGTGTGTCTCTCACTGTCACGCTGTGTGTGTCTCACTCTGTGTCTCACTGTGTGTGTCTCACTGTGTCTCACTGTGTGTCTCACTGTGTTACTGTGTGTCTCACTGTGTGAGTCTCACTGTGTGTGTCTCTCTGTGTGTCTCTCTGTGTGTGTATCTCTGTGTGTGTCTCACTGTGTGTGTCTCACTGTGTCTCACTGTGTGTCTCACTGTTACTGTGTGTTTCACTGTGTGTCTCACTGTGTGAGTCTCACTGTGTGTGTCTCACTGTGTGAGTCTCACTGTGTGTGTCTCTCTGTGTGTCTCTCTGTGTGTGTATATCTCTGTGTGTGTCTCACTGTGTGTGTGTCTCTCACTGTCACGCTGTGTGTGTCTCACTCTGTGTCTCACTGTGTGTGTCTCACTGTGTCTCACTGTGTGTCTCACTGTGTTACTGTGTGTCTCACTGTGTGAGTCTCACTGTGTGTGTCTCTCTGTGTGTCTCTCTGTGTGTGTATCTCTGTGTGTGTCTCACTGTGTGTGTCTCACTGTGTCTCACTGTGTGTCTCACTGTTACTGTGTGTTTCACTGTGTGTCTCACTGTGTGAGTCTCACTGTGTGTGTCTCACTGTGTGAGTCTCACTGTGTGTGTCTCTCTGTGTGTCTCTCTGTGTGTGTATATCTCTGTGTGTGTCTCACTGTGTGTGTGTCTCTCACTGTCACGCTGTGTGTGTCTCACTCTGTGTCTCACTGTGTGTGTCTCACTGTGTCTCACTGTGTGTCTCACTGTGTTACTGTGTGTCTCACTGTGTGTCTCACTGTGTGAGTCTCACTGTGTGTGTCTCTCTGTGTGTGTCTCTCTGTGTGTGTCTCACTGTGTGTGTCTCACTGTGTGTGTCTCACTGTGTCTCACTGTGTTACTGTGTGTCTCACTGTGTGTCTCACTGTGTGAGTCTCACTGTGTGTGTCTCTCTGTGTGTCTCTCTGTGTGTGTCTCACTGTGTGTGTCTCACTGTGTGTGTGTCTCACTGTGTGTGTGTCTCACTGTGTGTCTCACTGTGTGAGTCTCACTGTGTGTGTGTCTCACTGTGTCTCACTGTGTGTGTCTCACTGTGTCTCACTGTGTGTCTCACTGTGTCTCACTGTGTGTCTCACTGTGTCTCACTGTGTGTCTCACTGTGTGTCTCACTGTATCACTGTGTGTCTCTCACTGTGTGTCTCTCTGTGTGAGTCTCACTGTGTGTGTCTCACTGTGTCTCACTGTGTGTCTCACTGTGTGTCTCTGTGTGTCTCTCTTTGTCGTCCTAGTTGCTCTACTGCCAGGTCTGCTGCGAGGCGTTCCACCCCTTCTGCCTGCACGAGTCTCAGCGCCCGTCAGGCGTACAGCGCCACAGCTGGTGCTGTCAGCTGTGCCGCTACTGCCAAGCCTGCGGCCTTCCTGGACAGGTTCTAAAACACACTCACACTCAGATATACACACACACACTCACTCATACACACACACATACACACACACATATACATACACACACATACATACACACACTCACTCATACACACACACATACATACACACACATACACTCAGATATACACACACACATACACACATATACACACACATACATACACTCATACACACACTCAGATATACACATACACATACACACACTCATATACACACACATGCACACACTCATATACACACACACACTCACTCATACACACACACATACATACACACACTCACTCAGATATACACACACATACACACTCATATACACACACATACATACACTCAGATATACACACACTCATATACACGCACATACATACACTCATACACACATACACACACACACATACATACAAAGACAAAGACAAAGATCCCCCGTATAGCCTTAACAGACTGTAGGGGCAAGTGCTGTTAGCGAGCACCTATGAAGGCCGGAACGGTACACGAGGGGGTGGGTGGCCAGCACCACGCCCGACCGCCTTTGTCTCCCTAGTGACGATGTTTACACACCGCACCAGGTACTCATTTGAGGCTGAGTCGACCTAGGGGAGGCCCGGGACCGGTTCAGATAATCGTCACCGGTGTTGGCCGTGAGCGGGAATCGAACCCGGGTCGCCAGGTTCATAGCGCAGCGCGCTAACCGCTACACACACATATACACACTCATACATACACTCATATACACACAACAACAACAACAACCGCCATTCGCCACTAAGTGGCGGTGACATCACCACGACGCTTGTGCCAGGCTATGTGCACCCTGAGGCCACGTGAAGTGTCGAACGCCCGCTGACAGGAGGTCACGGGGCAGACCCAGGTGCCACGGGTCGACTGACTGAGATGACTGGCTGATGCACCACCTGTGCCCCCTACTGTGCCAACCTGCTGTGCTTTAGCCACCCGGCGCTCCGCTCGCTGTTGTGAGCGTCGCTCCTCCGCCCTCCGTTGTTGTTGGAGGGCGACTGCCTCCAACTGCCCAGTAGCATCCTTCACGAGCCTCCTCCACAGAGGCCGATCTTGACACCGCTGGTACCAGTCATCGGCAAGTCCACTCAGCTCCACGTCCTCCTGTACCACATCACTCCATCTCTTCTCTAGCCCGTGCCGCGCCCGCTTAGCCCCCTCAATCCGGCCAAACAAAAGCTGTTTCGGCATGCGGTGGCTGGGCATGCGGGCTACATGACCCAGCCATCGCAGCCTTGCCTGCCGGAGGAGCTCACCGATGGGACCTTGCCCAGATCTTTCAAGGATTTGTGAGCTCCTCACACAATCCAGTCTGGTTAAACCCAGGATGGATCGTAGGCAGGCCAGCCTAAATGTTTCTAACCGGCGAAGATGTTCCATTAGGGGGGTCCACGTTTCGCAAGCGTAGAGAAGGGAGGGAATGACCGTGGCCGAGAAGACCTGAAGCTTAGTGCGGAGCGACAGACCAGGTAGCTTCCACACAGCGTTACGCAACCGATGAAAAGGTATTGCCGCTCGACTGATTCGGAGTGAGACCTCTGCTGTTAAACTGGAGCCAGTCATAAGCACACTGCCCAGGTATGGGAAACTCTCCACTCTCTCCACAACTGCCCCATCACCGATTGGGAGTTGTGGGGGTGGAGTGTCCGATGGTACAAAATACCCAGGCAGGTGCTTAGTTTTGGTGGGGCTGATGGTAAGGCCCCATATACACACACATACACACACACACATATACACACACATACATACACTCATATACATACACTCATATACACACACATACACACACTCACACTCAGATATACACACATATACACACACATACACACACACATATACACACACATACATACACTCAGATATACACACACACATACACACACTCATACACACACACACACACTCACTCATACACACACACATACATACACACACTCACACTCAGATATACACAACAACAACACAACAACCGCCATTCGCCACTAAGTGGCGGTGACGTCACCACGACGCTTGTGCCAGGCTATGTGCACCCTGAGGCCACGTGAAGTGTCGAACGCCCGCTGGCAGGAGGTCACGGGGCAGACCCAGGTGCCACGGGTCGACTGATACACACTCACACTCAGATATACACACACATACACATATACACACACATATACACACATACATACACTCATACACACACTCCATCATACACACACACATACATACACACACTCACACTCAGATATACACACACATACATACACTCATATACACAAACACACTCACTCATACACACACACATACATACACACACATACACACTCACTCATACACACACTCACTCATACACACACACTCAGATATACACACACACATACACACACTCATATACACACACGTACATACACACACTCATACACACACATACACACTCAATCATACACACACTCACTCATATACACACACACTCAGATATACACACACACATACACACACTCATATACACACACATACATACACTCATATACACACACTCATACACACACATACACACTCACTCATACACACACTCACTCATATACACACACACTCATATACACACACATACATACTCACATATACACATACACACACTCATACACACACATACATACAACAACAACAACAACCGCCATTCGCCACTAAGTGGCGGTGACGTCACCACGACGCTTGTGCCAGGCTATGTGCACCCTGAGGCCACGTGAAGTGTCGAACGCCCGCTGGCAGGAGGTCACGGGGCAGACCCAGGTGCCACGTGTCAACTGACTGAGATGACTGGCTGGTGCACCACCTGTGCCCCCTACTGTGCCAACCTGCTGTGCTTTAGCCACCCGGCACTCCGCTCGTTGTTCTGAGCGTCGCTCCTCCGCCCTCCGTTGTTGTTGGAGGGCGACTACCTCCAACTGCCCAGTAGCATCCTTCACGAGCCTCCTCCACAGAGGCCGATCTTGACACCGCTGGTACCAGTCATCGGCAAGTCCACTCAGCTCCACGTCCTCCTGTACCACATCACTCCATCTCTTCTCTAGCCCGTGCCGCGCCCGCTTAGCCCCCTCAATCCGGCCGAACAAAAGCTGTTTCGGCATGCGGTGGCTGGGCATGCGGGCTACATGACCCAGCCATCGCAGCCTTGCCTGCCGGAGGAACTCACCGATGGGACCCTGCCCAGATCTTTCAAGGATTTGTGAGCTCCTCACACAATCCAGTCTGGTTAAACCCAGGATGGATCGTAGGCAGGCCAGCCTAAATGTTTATAACCGGCGAAGATGCTCCATTAGGGGGGTCCACGTTTCGCAAGCGTAGAGAAGGGAGGGAATGACCGTGGCCGAGAAGACCTGAAGCTTAGTGCGGAGCGACAGACCAGGTAGCTTCCACACAGCGTTACGCAACTGATGAAAAGATATTGGCGCTCGACTGATTCAGACGTCTGCTGTTAAACTGGAGCCGGTCATAAGCACACTGCCCAGGTATGGGAAACTCTCCACTCTCTCCACAACTGCCCCATCACCGATTGGGAGTTGTGGGGGTGGAGTGTCCGATGGTACAAAATACCCAGGCAGGTGCTTAGTTTTGGTGGGGCTGATGGTAAGGCCCCATCTCTTAGTGGCACGCTCCAGTCTCATCAGCAGCGTCTCCAACTCCTCCTCTGAATGAGCAGCTATTACCAAATCATCAGCATACATAACGTGGTTGAGCAATAGGGAGCCATCCCTTGACCGCACCCGGGCATCGATCAGCCTCCCATTATATCTGTACCATATGGAGATTCCCCCGGTACAGCTATTGAAGGCTTCACGAACTACGTGGTCAAAATAGATGTTAAATAATGTGGGAGCCAGAGGACATCCCTGTCGCACCCCAAGGTATACAGGGAATGGCTCTGACTCCCAGCCACTTAGTTTTACCCGGGCCCACTCACCATCATGAAGGTCCTTAATGATTGTGAGCAGAGGGTCAGGTACGCCAAAAGCACGAAGAACAACCCAGAGCCCAGGCCTACTTGATGGTATCATAGACCTTGACCAGGTCAATACAGCAGAGATGTAGGTCTTGCTGGAATTCCCTACACCTCTGCTAGCAGACGGACAGAAAATATGGCATCTGTGCAGGACCGCCCTTTCCTGAAACCGCATTGGGGCTCCGCAAGCCTCTCCTCAGCGTGCCTGGCAAGGCGATGTTGAATAATCCTTGCCAGGACCTTTCCCGGCACACTGAGGAGTGAGATGCCCCTGTAGTTGTTACAGTCTGTGCGGTCCCCCTTCTTAAAGAGGGGGACCACCAGGGCATCCTTCCAATCCTGTTGTTATGATGTAATATAGGTCAGTCTGTGCACAAACGCCACTCTCCCTCAGCATTTCGCTTGGGAGATCATCTCTGCCCGCTGCCTTTCCAGGTCTCAGACTCTGGATCGCCTTCAGCACTTCCTCAACAGATGGCACTTCAGCCAGCCACTCACAGGGGGTGACTTCTTCCAATATATGAGGCACCGCAGCCTCAGCAGGGTCATCCTCACTTTGTGCCACGATGTTTTCCTGGCTGAGGGATTTTCCCTCCCCCCAGGACCTCACAGAAATGCTCAGCAAATCTGCAAACCTGTTCCTGGGGGTCAGAGATTGGATCACCGTTTTTTCCCCTAATGATGGTAATAGGTGTGGCACTGCAGGTTACTTTTTTGATGGAGTTAAATAGAGATTTGTGGTCGCGGGCCACTGAGGCAGACTCCATCTCCTCAGCAACCTGCGACCACCACCCATCCTTGCAGCGCCTCACGGCTCTCCGAACCTCCGAGCGAAGGCTGCGGTAAGCCTCCTCATTCTCTGACGTGGGATTCTGTAGCTGATGACAGTGGGCCTGTCGCTTCTTCTCAACCATCCTGAACACCTCCTCTGTCAGCCAGGGTCTCTGGGGAGGTCTGGACCGCGTACCCAAAGCAGCCATTGCAGCTGCATTAGTCACAGTCCTAAACCTCGCCCATTTACCCTCGACATCAGGAGTGGGGGACGATGCCAACCCCAGCCGCAGGCGATGATGAAATTCTTGCTTGCAACTTTCATCAGATAACTGAGACCAGGCCACTTTTGGTTGGAATGTGGTCCTGGGTGTACACCCACCACCAGAGCGGAAGAATGGCAGGCGCATCTTACAGATGACAAGTCGATGGTCAGAGGGCAGATCAGCTCCATGGTAGGTCCTGGTGTCAAGGACATGGGCTCGCATCCACTGGTCCGTCACTATGTAGTCCAGCAGATGTTCTTGCTTGGACCCGGCATGCATCCATGATGTTGTGTGGATGCACCGATGCCGGAACAGCGTGTTGGTAATTACAAGCCCATGGGCTGCACAAAAATCTAGCAGCCTCCTACCGTTGTTATTGAGCTGATCCGGCCCATGCCCTCCAATCACTCCAGACCAGGTGCCAGCATCATGACCAACTCGGGCATTGAAGTCACCCAACAAGATGACTCTATCCCGAGGGGCCACTTTAGCCAGCACCTGTGACAGGAGGTCATAGAAGGCATCTGACTCATCGGCTTTGCCTGCATCCCTCCACGGATGTTTGTCTTCGGTTGGGGCATAAGTAACCACGACCACAACTCCTCACCTCCAGTTCATGGTAAGGTGAGCCCAAAGTAGCCTGGGGCTTACAGCTTCCCACACCTCACAGCCACGCTCCCACGCCCCCTTCATTCTTTTGTTCAAAAGAGAGCCACACCCTGTTGTTTGACAGTCTGCTGCCCCGAGTAGAGGACTGTCCACCCCTCATGGTGGCAGGATCCAGAACCGGTCCACCGGACCTCCTGAATGCCACAGAGATCCAGGCGGTACCGGTCCAGCTCCCGACAGAGGTGTGGCAGCCTCTCCTCCGCAGTGAACATTCGAACATTCCACGTGGCCACACGAAGTGGCTTTTCGTTGTTTCTGGAGGAGCCCCAAGGGTAGAGATTCAATCTCCTGGCTCCGCCAATTGGATTTTGGCCAGGAGACGTCATAGACGCCTGTCCTCCCGGGGTCTCCGGCACAAGCTTATTAGTTACATATTTCAGTTTAACTCGTGGTTTTGTGGTAATTAATTGAAGTTGGAGGGGTTACCAGCCCCTCGCACCCGTCCAGAGCCCCCGTTTAGCCCCTGTGGTGGACACAGACACCATGAGGGGAGGAGCCAATCAAAATTGGATCTCCCCCCACAGCACTGTCCACGACAGAGTTGCCCGTCCGGCACCGCGAGGAGGTAGGGGGTTGTTTTGCAGGACCACACATGTATATATCTACACAAACACACAGTAACATCTTAGTGTGTGTCTGTGTGTCTGTGTGTGTGTATGTGTATGTGACTGTGTGTGTATGTGTCTGTGTGTGTGTGTGTGTATGACTGTGTGTGTGTGTGTATGTGACTGTGTGTGTGTGTCTGTGTGACTGTGTGTGTGACTGTGTGTGAAATGTGACTGTGTGTGTGTGTATGTGTCTGTGTGTGTATGTGACTGTGTGTGTGTATGTGACTGTGTGTGTGACTGTGTCTGTGTGTATCTATGTGTGTGTGTGTGTGTCTCTATGTCTGTGTGTGTGTACGTGTATGTGACTATGTATGTGTATGTGACTGTGTGTGTCTTTGTGTGTGTGTGTGTCTGTGTGTATGTGTGTGTGACTGTGTGTGTGTGTGTCTGTGTGTGTGTGACTGTGTGTGTATGTCTGTCTGTGTGTGTGTATGTGTGTGTGTCTGTGTGTGTGTATGTGTGTGTGTGACTGTGTGTGTGTGTGACTGTGTGTGTGACTGTGTGTGTGTGTGTATGTGTATGTGACTGTGTGTATGTGTGTATGTGACTGTGTGTGTCTGTGTGTATGTGTATGTGACTGTGTGTGTGTGTATGTGACTATGTATGTGTATGTGACTGTGTGTGTGTGTCTGTGTGTGTGTATGTGTATGTGACTGTATGTGACTGTGTGTGACTGTGTGTGTGTGTGTATGTGTGTATGTGACTGTATGTGACTATGTCTGTGTATCTATGTGACTGTGTGTGTGTGTATGTGACTATGTATGTGTATGTGACTGTGTGTGTGTGTCTGTGTGTGTGTATGTGTATGTGACTGTGTGTGTGTATGTGTATGTGACTGTATGTGACTGTATGTGTGTATGTGACTGTGTGTATGTGACTATGTATGTGTATGTGACTGTGTGTGTGTGTCTGTGTGTGTGTATGTGACTGTATGTGACTGTGTGTGACTGTATGTGACTGTGTGTGTGTGTGTGTGTATGTGACTGTGTGTGTGTGTGTATGTGACTATGTATGTGTGTGTGTGTGACTGTGTGACTGTGTATGTGTATGTGACTGTATGTGACTGTATGTGACTGTATGTGACTGTATGTGTGTATGTGACTGTGTGTGTGTGTAGCTGCTGGAGTGCTCCACGTGCCGTGCGAGCTACCACACGGAGTGCCTTGGACCGCAGCACCCCAGCAAGCCGTCACGGCGCAACATCTGGGTAGCGGCGGGGGACACACGGGGACACACGGAGACACGGAGACACGGAGACACACGGAGACACACGGAGACACGTGGGGACACACGGGGAGACGTGGGGACACGGAGACACGGAGACACACGGAGACACGTGGGGACACACGGGGAGACGTGGGGACACGCGGAGACACGGAGACACACGGAGACACACGGAGACACGTGGGGACACGTGGGGACACGGAGACACGTGGGGGCACGTGGGGACACGTGGGGACACGGGGACACGTGGGGACACGTGGGGACACGCGGGGACACGGAGACACACGGAGACACGTGGGGACACACGGGGAGACGTGGGGACACGGAGACACGGAGACACACGGAGACACGTGGGGACACACGGGGAGACGTGGGGACACGCGGAGACACGGAGACACACGGAGACACACGGAGACACGTGGGGACACGTGGGGACACGGAGACACGTGGGGGCACGTGGGGACACGTGGGGACACGGGGACTCGTGGGGACACGTGGGGACACGCGGGGACACGGAGACACACGGAGACACGTGGGGACACGTGGGGACACGCGGGGACACGGAGACACACGGAGACACACGGAGACACACGGAGACACACGGAGACACGGAGACACGGAGACACACGGAGACACACGGAGACACACGGAGACACGGGGGGACACGTGGGGACACGGAGACACGTGGGGACACGGAGACACGTGGGACACGGAGGACACGTGGGGACACGGAGACACGTGGGGGACCACGCGGGGACACGTGGGGACACGGAGACACGTGGGGGCACGTGGGACACGTGGGGACACGGGGACACGTGGGGACACGTGGGGACATACGGAGACACACGGAGACACGTGGGGACACAGAGACACACGGAGACACACGGAGACACACGGAGACACGTGGGGGACACGGAGACACGTGGGGACACACGGAGACACGTGGGGACACTGAGACACACGGAGACACACGGGGGGACACGGAGACACACGGAGACACACGGGGACACGTGGGGACACGTGGGGACACGTGGAGACACACGGAGACACGGAGACACGCGGGGACACGGAGACACATGGAGACACACGGAGACACACGGAGACAGACGGGGACACGGAGACACGTGGGGACACACGGGGACACACGGAGACACACAGAGACATGGAGACACGTGGGGACATACGGGGACACGCCGAGACAGGCGGAGAGACGCGTGGGAGACACGGGGTGTGTATCAATGTGTGTGTCTGTGTGTGTCTGTGTGTGTGTCTGTGTGTGTGTCTGTGTGTGTCTGTGTCTGTCTGTGTGTGTCTGTGTCTGTCTGTGTGTGTCTGTGTCTGTCTGTGTGTTGTGTGTCTGTGTGTGTGTGTGTCTGTGTGTGTGTGTCTGTGTCTGTGTGTGTCTGTGTCTGTGTGTGTGTCTGTGTGTGTGTGTCTGTGTGTATCTGTGTGTATGACTGTGTGTCTGTGTGTCTGTGTGTGTCTGTGTGTGTGTCTGTGTGTGTCTGTGTCTCTCTGTGTGTGTGTCTGTGTGTCTAGCTGTGTGCTCGCTGCGTCCGCTGCAAGCGTTGTGGTGTCACCACTCCGGGCGAGGGGAAGGCTGACGCCTGGTCACATGACTTCACCCTCTGCGCTAACTGCAGTCGCCTGTTCGGCGGAGGTGAGACACGCGGACACACACAGACACACACACACACATACACACATACACACACAGACACACACACACACAGACACACACATACACAGTCACACACAGATACACACACACATACACAGACACACACACAGACACACACACAGACACACACACAGACACACACAGACACACACACACAGACACACACATAGACACACACAGACACACGCAGAGACACACACACACAGATACACATACACAGACACGCAGAGACACGCATTGTGTGTGTCTTTGTGTGTGTATCTGTGTGTCTGTGTGTGTGACTGGCTCCAGTTTACAGCAGAGGTCTCACTTCCGAATCAGTCGAGCGGCAATATCTTTTCATCAGTTGCGTAACGCTGTGTGGAAGCTACCTGGTCTGTCGCTCCGCACTAAGCTTCAGGTCTTCTCGGCCACGGTCATTCCCTCCCTTCTCTATGCTTGCGAAACGTGGACACCCCTAATGGAACATCTTCGCCGGTTAGAACATTTAGGCTGGCCTGCAAACGATCCATCCTGGGTTTAACCAGGCTGGATTGTGGTGAGGAGCTCACAAATCCTTGAAAGATCTGGGCAAGGTCCCATCGGTGAGCTCCTCCGGCAGACAAGGCTGCGTTGGCTGGGTCATGTAGCCCGCATGCCCAGCCACCGCATGCCAAAAACAGCTTTTGTTCGGCCGGATTGAGGGGGCTAAGCGGGGCGCGGCACGGGCCTAGAGAAGAGATGGAGTGATGTGGTACAGGAGGACGGGAGCTGAGTGGACTTGCCGATGACTGGTACCAGCAGTGTCAAGATCGGCCTCTGTGGAGGAGGCTCGTGAAGGATGCTACTGGGCAGTTGGAGGCAGTCGCCCTCCAACAACAACGGAGGGCGGAGGAGCGACGCTCACAACAGCGAGCGGAGCGCCGGGTGGCTAAAGCACAGCAGGTTGGCACAGTAGGGGGCACAGGTGGTGCATCAGCCAGTCATCTCAGTCAGTCGACCCGTGGCACCTGGGTCTGCCCCGTGACCTCCTGCCAGCGGGCGTTCAACACTTCACGTGGCCTCAGGGTGCACATAGCCTGGCACAAGCGTCGTGGTGACGTCACCGCCACTTAGTGGCGAATGGCGGTTGTTGTTGTTGTTATCTTTGTGCGTGTCTGTATGTGTGTGTGTGTCTGTGCGTGTCTGTATGTGTGTGTGTGTGTGTCTGTGCGTGTGTGTCTGTGTGTGTGTGTCTGTGCGCGTGTGTGTCTGTGCGTGTATGTGTCTATGTGCCTATGTCTGTGTGTGTGTGTGTGCGTGTGTGTGTCTATGTGTCTATGTCTGTGTGTGTGTGTCTGTGCGTGTGTGTGTCTGTGCGTGTGTGTGTCTATGTGTGTCTGTGTGTGTGTGTCTGTGTGTGTGTGTCTGTGTGTGTCTATGTGTGAGTGTCTATGTGTGTGTGCGTGTGTCTGTGTGCAGGTAACCGCTGCCAGGTGTGTAAGAGTTCGTGGAGCGAGGAATCTGCTGAGGGCAAGGTGATGGAGTGCTCCTCCTGCCGCCTCTGGGTTCACTCTGTGTGTGCGGGGCTTGACGGTACCACACACACCACACACACAGACAGTCACACACACACATAGACACACACACATAGACACACACACAGACAGACAGACACACACACGCCCTTTCCTGAAACCGCATTGGGGCTCCGCAAGCCTCTCCTCAGCGTGCCTGCCAAGGTGATGTGGAATAATCCTTGCCAGGACCTTTCCCGTCACACTGAGGAGTGAGATGCCCCTGTAGTTTTTACAGTCTGTGCGGTCCCCCTTCTTAAAGAGGGGGACCACCAGGGCATCCTTCCAATCCTGCGGAACCCGTTCCAGTGGTCCAGACTGTTGTTATGATGTCATATAGGGCAAGTCTGTGCACAAACGCCACCCTCCCTCAGCATTTCGCTTGGGAGATCATCTCTGCCCGCTGCCTTTCCTGGTCTCAGACTCCGGATCGCCTTCAGTACTTCCTCAGCAGATGGCACCTCAGCCAGCCACTCACAGCGGGTGACTTCTTCAAATATTTGAGGCACCGCAGCCTCAGCAGGGTCATCCTCACTTTGTGCCACGATGTTTTCCTGGCTGAGGGATTTTCCCTCCCCCAGGACCTCACAGAAATGCTCAGCAAATCTGCAAACCTGTTCCTGGGGGTCGGAGATTGGATCACCGTTTTTTCCCCTAATGATGGTAATAGGTGGGGCGCTGCAGGTTACTTTTTTGATGGAGTTAAATAGAGATTTGTGATCGCGGGCCACTGAGGCAGATTCCATCTCCTCAGCAACCCTGTCGCTTTTTCTCAACCATCCTGAACACCTCCTCTGTCAGCCAGGGTCTCTGGGGAGGTCTGGACCGCGTACACAAAGCAGCCATTGCAGCTGCATGAGTCACAGTCCTAAACCAAGCCCATTTACCCTCGACATCAGGAGGAGTGGGGGACGATGCCAACCCCAGTCGCAAGCGATGATGAAATTCTCGCTTGCAACTTTCATCAGATTACTGAGACCAGGCCACTTTAGGTTGGAATGGGGTCCTGGGTGTACACCCACCACCGGAGTGGAAGAATGGCAGGCGCATCTTACAGATGACTAGTCGATGGCCAGAGGGCAGATCAGCTCCACGGTAGGTCCTGGTGTCAAGGACATGGGCTCGCATCTGCTGGTCCGTCACTATGTAGTCCAGCAGATGTTCTTGCTTGGACCCGGCATGCATCCATGATGTTGTGTGGATGCGCCGATGCCGGAACAGCGTGTTGGTAATTACAAGCCCATGGGCTGCACAAAAATCTAGCGGCCTCCTACCGTTGTTATTGAGCTGATCCGGCCCATGCCCTCCAATCACTCCAGACCAGGTGCCAGCATCATGACCAACTCGGGCATTGAAGTCACCCAACGTGATGACTCTATCCCGAGGGGCCACTTTAGCCAGCACCTGTGACAGGAGGTCATAGAAGGCATCTGACTCATCGGCTTTGCCTGCATCCCTCCATGGATGTTCGTCTTCGGTGGGGGCGTAAGTAACCACGACCACCATTCCTTGCCTCCGGTTGATGGGAAGGCGAGCCCAAAGTAGCCTGGGGCTTACAGCTTCCCACACCTCACCGCCATGCTCCCACGCCCCCTTCATTCTTTTGTTCAAAAGACTTCCTGAATGCCACAGAGATCCAGGCGGTACCGGTCCAGCTCCCGACAGAGGAGTGGCAGCCTCTCCTCCGCAGTGAGCGTTCGAACATTCCACGTGGCCACACGAAGTGGCTTTTCGTTGTTTCTGGAGGAGCCCCGAGGGTAGAGATTCAATCTCCTGGCTCCGCCAATTGGGTTTTAGCCAGGAGACGTCATAGACGCCTGTCCCCCCGGGGCCTCCGGCACAAGCTTATTAGTTACATATTTAAGTCGTAGTTTCGTGATAATTTTTTGAAGGTGGAGGGGTTACCAGCCCCTCGCACCCGTCCAGTGCCCCCGTTTAGCCCCTATGGTGGACACATATGCCATGAGGGGAGGAGCCAATCAAAATTGGATCTCCCCCCACAGCAACTGTCCACGACAGAGTTGCCCGTCCGGCACCGCGAGGAGGTAGGGGGTTGTTTTGCCGGACAACACACACACAGACACACAGATACACGCACATGTATAAATCTACACAAACACACAGTAACATCTCTGTGTGTGTGTGCCTGTGTGTGTGTGTGTGATGCCTGTGTGTGTGTGTCTCTGTGTCTGTGTGTGTGTGTCTGTGTGTGTGTGTGTCTGTGTATGTGTGATGCTGTGTGTGTGTCTCTGTGTGTGTGTCTGTGTGTGTGTCTGTGTGTGTGTGTGAGATGCCTGTGTGTGTGTCTCTGTGTGTGTGTGTGTCTGTGTGTCTCTGTGTGGGTGTCTGTGTGTCTGTGGTCTGTGTGATGCCTGTGTGTGTGTCTCTGTGTGTGTTGATGCCTGTGTGTGTGTCTCTGTGTGTGTGATGCCTGTGTGTGTGTCTCTGTGTGTGTGTATCTGTGTGTGTCTGTGTGTGTCTGTGTGTATGTGTGTCCTGTTATGTGTGTGATGCCTGTGTGTGTGTCCTCGTGTGTGTGTGTCTGTGTGTGTGTGTATCTGTGTGTGTGTCTGTGTGTGTGTCCTGTGTGTGTGTGTGTCTGTGTGTGTGTGTCTGTGTGTGTGTGTGTCTCTGTGTGTATCTGTGTGTGTGTGTCTCTGTGTGTGTGTGTATCTGTGTGTGTGTGTATCTGTGTGTGGTTCTCTGTGTGTGTGTGTGTCTGTGTGTGTGTGTGTCTGTGTGTGTGTATCTGTGTGTGTCTCTGTGTGTGTGTCTTCTGTGTGTGTGTCTCTGTGTGTGTGTCTCTGTGTGTTGTCTGTGTGTGTGTGTGTCTGTGTGTGTGTCTGTGTGTGTGTCTCTTTGTGTGTGTGTATCTGTGTGTGTCTGTCTGTCTGTGTGTATCTGTGTGTGTGTCTGTCTGTGTGTGTCTAGATGACATGGTGGGTCTACTCAGAGGCGTGGGTACCTACCAGTGCACCTACTGCTCTGTGGGTGACACGGCCGACTGGAGGATTGCCCTGACGTCACAGCTGCAGCAGAGACTCACCACCGTCATCACCACACTCACCTGCAGCAGTAGCAGCAGTGAGCAGGTGAGACACTGGGTAGTGAGACACTGGGTAGTGAGACACTGCTAGTGAGACACTGGGTAGTGAGACACTGGGGTAGTGAGACACTGGGTAGTGAGACACTGGGTAGTGAGACACTGGGGTAGTGAGACACTGGGTAGTGAGACACTGCTAGTGAGACACTTGGTAGTGAGACACTGCTAGTGAGACACTGGGTAGTGAGACACTGGGTAGTGAGACACTGGGTAGTGAGACACTGCTAGTGAGACACTGGGTAGTGAGACACTGGGTAGTGAGACACTGGGTAGTGAGACACTGGGTAGTGAGACACTGCTAGTGAGAGACTGCTAGTGATACACTGCTAGTGAGACACGGGGTAGTGAGACACTGCTAGTGAGACACTGGGTAGTGAGACACTGCTAGTGAGACACTGGGTAGTGAGACACTGGGTAGTGAGACACTGGGTAGTGAGACACTGGGTAGTGAGACACTGCTAGTGAGACACTGGGTAGTGAGACACTTGGGTAGTGAGACACTGGGTAGTGAGACACTGCTAGTGAGACACTGGGTAGTGAGACACTGGGTAGTGAGACACTGGGTAGTGAGACTGGGTAGTGAGACACTGGCTAGTGAGACACTGGGTAGTGAGACACTGGGTAGTGAGACACTGGGTAGTGAGACACTGGGTAGTGAGACACTGGGTAGTGAGACCCTGGGTAGTGAGACACTTGGGTAGTGAGACACTGGGTAGTGAGACACTGGGTAGTGAGACACTGGGTAGTGAGACACTGGGTAGTGAGACACTGGGTAGTGAGACACTGGGTAGTGAGACACTGGGTAGTGAGGACACTGTGTATGTTGAGGACACTGGGTAGTGAGACAGTGCTAGGAGACACTGGGTGGTGAGACACTGGATAGTGAGACACTGGGTAGTGAGGACACTGGTAGTGAGACACTGGGTAGTGAGACACTGGGTAGTGAGACACTGCTAGTGAGACCCTGGGTAGTGAGACACTGGGTAGTGAGACACTGGGTAGTGAGACACTGGGTAGTGAGACACTGGGTAGTGAGACACTGGGTAGTGAGACACTGGGTAGTGAGACACTGGATAGTGAGACACTGGTAGTGAGACACTGGGTAGTGAGACACTGGGTAGTGAGATACTGGGTAGTGAGACACTGGGTTAGTGAGACACTGGGTAGTGAGACACTGGGTAGTGAGACACCGGGTAGTGAGACACTGGGTAGTGAGACACTGCTAGTGAGACACTGGGTAGTGAGACACAGGTAGTGAGACACTGGGTAGTGAGACACTGGGTAGTGAGACACTGGGTAGTGAGACACTGGTAGTGAGACACTGGGTAGTGAGACACTGGGTAGTGAGACACTGGGTAGTGAGACACTGGTAGTGAGACACTGGGTAGTGAGACACTGCTAGTGAGACACTGGGTAGTGAGACACTGCTAGTGAGACACTGGGTAGTGAGACACTGGTAGTGAGACACTGGGTAGTGAGACACTGGGTAGTGAGACACTGCTAGTTAGACACTGGGTAGTGAGACACTGGGTAGTGAGACACTGCTAGTGAGACACTGGGTAGTGAGACACTGCTAGTGAGACGCTGGGTAGTGAGACACTGGGTAGTGAGACACTGGTTAGTGAGACACTGGTAGTGAGACACTGCTAGTGAGACCACTGGGTAGTGAGACACTGGTAGTGAGACACTGGGTAGTGGAGGACACTGCTAGTTAGACACTGGGTAGTGAGACACCGCTAGTTAGACACTGGTAGTGAGACACTGCTAGTGAGACACTGCTAGTGAGACACTGCTAGTGAGACACTGCTAGTTGACACTGGGTAGTGAGACACTGCTAGTTAGACACTGGGTAGTGAGACATTGCTAGTGAGACACTGGGTAGTGAGACACTGCTAGTGAGACACTGGGTAGTGAGACACTGCTAGTGAGACACTGGGTAGTGAGACACTGCTAGTGAGACACTGGGTAGTGAGACACTGCTAGTGAGACTCTGCTCGTGAGAGTTATTAATCCTCAATCTCCTGTTCCTTGCCCCTCCCCCGGGGCGATTTCTCTCGACCAATCGCAGCCTCCCGGAGTCCCCCGGTGGCCAATTGGCCACCTGCAAGGCGGAACCCGCAACCAATCGGGCGGCGGCGGGGGCGGAGCCTCGGCGGGCGGACGGCCAATGGGAGGACGGGGACGGCGGGGGGGCTGGAGACGGTGAAGCGGAGGGTGATGGGTGGCACTTACAGCTCCACGGTGCGTGTACCGTGTGGTGTACAGTGTCGTGTACAGTGCGGTGTACAGTGTGGGTGTGCAGTGTCGTGTAGTAGTGTACAGTGTACATTGTAGTGTACAGTGTACATTGTAATGTACAGTGTGGTGTGCGGTGTACAGTGTGGTGTGCGGTGTGGTGTACAGTGTAGTGGTGTACAGTGTAGTAGTGTGTATAGTGTAGTGTAGTAGTGTATAGTGTAGTAGTGTATAGTGTAGTAGTTTATAGTGTAGTAGTTATTAGTGTAGTGTAGTAGTGTATAGTGTGGTGTATAGTGTAGTAGTGTATAGTGTAGTAGTGTATAGTGTAATAGTGAGTAGTGTATAGTGTAGTAGTGTGTAGTGTAGTAGTGTATAGTGTAGTAGTGTATAGTGTAATAGTGTAGTAGTGTATAGTGTATTAGTGTGTAGTGTAGTAGTGTATAGTGTAATAGTGTATAGTGTGTAGTGTAGTAGTGTGTAGTGTAGTTTGTAGTGTAGTGTATAATGCAATGTAGTAGTGTATAGTGTAGTAGTGGTATAGTGTAGTGTATAATGTAGTAGTGTATAGTAGTGTAGTAGTTTTATAGTGTAGTAGGTATAGTGTAGTAGTGTATAGTGTATTAGTGTATAGTGTAGTAGTTTATAGTGTAGTAGTGTGTTAGTTATAGTAGTGTAGTGTATAATGCAATGTAGTAGTGTGTAGTGTAATAGTGTAGTAGTGTAGAAATGTATAGTGTAGTAGTGTATAGTGTAGTAGTGTGTAGTGTAGTAGTGTGTAGTATAGTAGTGTAGTGTATAATGCAATGTAGTAGTGTAGTAGTGTATAGTGTAGTGTATAATGTAGTGTAGTAGTGTAGTGTAGTGATGGGTGGGGCTTATAGCTCCATTGCAGAGCGGGAAGTGAGGGGGCATAGTTAACCCTTGCTGTGTCTCTGTGTCTCTGTCTCACTCTGTCTCTGCCTGTGTCTCCGTCTCTCTCTGTCTGTGTCTCACTGTGTCTCTGTCTCTCTCTCTCTCTCTCTGTCTCTCTCTCTCTCTGTGTCTCTCTCTCCGTGTCTCTGTGTCTCTCTCTGTCTCTCTCTGTGTCTCTCTCTGTCTCTCCGTGTCTCTCTCTGTCTCTCTCTTTCTGTCTCTCTCTCTGTCTCTGTGTCTCTCTCTGTCTTTATCTCTGTCTCTGTCTCTCTCTCTGTCTCTCTCTGTCTCTCTGTGTCTCTCTCTGTCTCTCTCTCTGTCTCTCTGTCTCCCTGTCTCTGTCTCTCTCTCTGTCTCCCTGTCTCTGTCTCTCTCTCTGTCTCTCTCTCTGTCTCTCTCTGTCCTCTCTCTGTCTCTCTGTGTCTCTGTTCTCTGTGTCTCTCTGACTCTCTCTGTCTCAGTGCGGCTTTGTCCAGGATGTGGTGGCTGCCATCTCCAAGCAGGGCGAGGGCAGTGCCACTCACCTCAAGGCCACCTTCATGCAGGTGAGCCCCACGGCATGCTGGGTAATCACCACAGTGCATGCTGGATAACTGCCGCCCCCCCACCCCAGTGCATGCTGGGTATCTCCCCCCCCCCAGTGCATGCTGGGTATCTCCCCCCCCCAGTGCATGCTGGGTGAGTGAGTAATTTCAAGTGGTCTGTGCGCTATCCAACATTTAGTTACATATTTAAGTGTCTGGCTGTGTACGACTCACTGATTCTGTCTCTCTCTGTTGTGTCTCTCTGTCTCTGTGTCTCTCTGTCTTTGTGTCTCTGTGTCTCTCTCTGTGTCTCTCTGTGTCTCTCTTTATCTCTGTGTCTCTCTCTCTGTGTCTCTCTGTCTCTGTGTCTGTCTCTGTGTCTCTGTCTCTCTCTGTGTCTCTCTCTGTCTCTCTCTGTGTCTCTGTGTCTCTGTCTCTCTCTGTGTCTCTGTCTCTCTCTGTATCTCTGTGTCTCTGTCTCTGTGTCTCTCTGTGTGTCTCTCTCTGTGTCTCTCTGTGTCTCTGTGTCTCTCTCTGTGTGTCTCTGTGTCTCTCTCTGTGTCTCTGTCTCTCTGTGTGTGTCTCTGTCTCTGTGTCTCTGTCTCTCTCTCTCTGTGTCTCTCTGTCTCTCTCTCTGTGTCTCTGTCTCTCTCTCTCTGTGTCTCTCTCTGTGTCTCTCTGTGTCTCTGTCTCTCTCTCTCTGTGTCTCTGTCTCTCTCTGTGTGTCTCTGTCTCTCTCTCTCTGTCTCTGTCGCTCTCTGTGTCTCTGTCTCTGTGTGTCTCTGTCTATGTTTCTCTCTCTGTGTCTGTCCTCTGTGTCTCTGTCTCTCTCTGTGTCTCTGTCTCTCTCTGTGTCTCTGTCTCTCTCTCTGTCTCTTGTCTCTCTCTGTCTCTCTGTGTGTCTCTGTCTCTCTCTGTGTGTCTCTGTCTCTCTCTGTGTGTCTGTCTCTCTGTCTCTGTCTGTCTCTCTGTCTCTGTCTGTCTCTCTGTGTGTCTCTGTCTCTCTGTGTGTCTCTGTCTCTCTCTGTGTGTCTCTGCCTCTCTCTGTGTCTGTCTGTGTCTGTGTGTGTGTGTGCGTCTGTCTGTGTGTGTGTCTGTGTGTGTGTGTCTGTGTGTGTCTGTGTGTGTGTCTGTGTGTGTGTCTGTGTGTGTGTCTGTGTGTGTGTCTGTGTGTGTATCTGTGTGTGTGTCTGTGTGTCTGTGTGTGTGTGTCTGTGTGTGTGTGTCTGTGTGTGTGTGTCTGTGTGTGTGTCTGTGTGTGTGTCTGTGTGTCTGTGTGTGTCTGTGTGTGTGTGTGTGTCTGTGTGTGTGTCTGTGTGTGTGTCTCTGTCTCTCTGTGTGTGTCTGTGTGTGTGTGTCTGTGTGTGTGTGTGTCTGTGTGTGTGTCTGTGTGTGTGACTGTGTGTGTGTCTGTGTGTGTGATTGTGTGTGTGTCTGTGTGTGTGTGTGTCTGTGTGTGTGTCGGTGTGTGTGTCTGTGTGTCTGTGTGTGTGTCTGTGTGTGTGTCTGTGTGTCTGTGTGTGTGTCTGTGTGTGTGTCTGTGTGTGTCTGTGTGTGTGTGTGTCTCTGTGTGTCTGTGTGTGTGACTGTGTGTGTGTGTGTGTGTGTGTGTGTGTGTCTGTGTGTGTGTGTCTGTGTGTGTGTGTGACTGTGTGTGTGTATCTGCGTGTGTGTATCTGTGTGTGTGTAGTTGATGGATCAGCTGTTCCCGTGGCTGGACGTGAGCAAAAGGTTCCCCTTACAAGTGAAGTCACCCAGGAGGTACGGTAACCATGGTAACAACGGTACACCATGTTAACCACTTTAACCACTGTACACCACCACTGTACACCACCACTGTAAGCCACGGCACACCACCACCGTACACCACCACTGTACACACCCACTGTACACACCCACTGTACACCACCAATGTACACCGCTACTGTACACCGCCACCGTACACCACCACTGTACACCACCGATGTACACCACCACTGTACACGTCCACCGCACACCACCACTGTACACCACCACTGTACACCACCACTGTACACGTCCACCGCACACCACCACTGTACACCACCACTGCACACCTCTCACTGTACACCACCACTGTACACCACCACCACTGCACACCACCACCGTATACCACCACTGTACACCACCACTGTACACCACCACCGTATACCACCACTGTACACCCACCACTGTACACCACCACGTACACCACCACTGTACACACCACTTACACCACCACCGTACACCACCACTGTACACACCCACTGTACACCACCACTACCCACACACTGCACACCACCGATGTACACGCACACTGTACACTTGCACTGCACACCACCACTGTACACGCCCGCTGTACACCATCACTGTACACTTGCACTGCCACACCACCACTGTACACACCACTGTCACACGCCACTGTACACGCCCGTGTACACCACCACTGTACACCACCACTGTACACCATGGTACAACGGTACCACTACTACTGCTGCTGCTACTGATGATGATGATGATACTACTTCTGATACTACTACTAATCATACTACTACTGATGATACTACTAATGATTCTATTACTGATGATACTACTACTGCTGCTGCCACTACTACTGATGATACTTCTACTGATACTACTACTAATGATACTACTACTGATGATACTACTACTGATACTACTACTAATGATTCTACTACTGATGATACTACTACTGATACTACTACTACTCATGATACTACTACTGATGATACTACTACTACTGCTGCTGCCACTACGACTAATGGCGCTGCTACTACTACTGATGATGATGATACTATTACTGATACTACTATTGATGATACTACTACTGATACGACTATTGATTATACTACTACTGACACTGCTATTGATGATACTACTGACACTGCTATTGATGATACTACTACTGATACTACTACTGATGATACTACTGATACTACTATTGATGATACTACTATTACTAAATTTTGATTTAAAGCTTTTGTGCCTGCAGGGATTCATATTCTTGGTTCTTTCGGTAAAGTCACCACCTAGGAAGGGAAACAATAAGTTATATAAATATTAAACAATATTGTTTTGTTTTATATTTGTTATTTTATGTTTCCCTTTACGTGACTTTACCGAAAGAACACAAGAATATGACTACTACTATAAACTACTACTGATACTACTACTGATGATGATGATACTACTACTGATGATGGTACTACTACTGATGATGATACTACTGATACAACTACTGATACTACTACTGATGATGATACTACTACTGATGATGATACTACTACTGATACTTCTACTGATACTTCTACTGATACTACTACTGATACTATTGATACTTCTACTGTTACTTCTACTGATACTACTACTGATACTACTACTGATGATGATACTACTACTACTGATGATGATACTACTACTACTGATCTACTACTGATGTTGATACTACTACTACTACTGATGATGATACTTACTACTACTGATACTACTACTGATGATGATGATAGTACTACTGATGATGATACTACTACTGATACTACTACTGATATTACTACTGATACTACTACTGCTTCTGTGTGCCCCCAGTGAGCCCCCCGAGTCCGCTCTACAGAGTGCCCCCCACCACTGGACCATCTCTACGCTCAGTTCAGGAGCCAGTGGGGGGCTCATCCAGCAGTGGAGAACGCGGCCACCAGGCAATGGTGAGAGCTCACCACCGCTACACTCACCACTACTACACTCACCACTACTACACTCACCACTACTACACTCACCACTACTACACTCACCACTACTACACTCACCACGACACTCACCCCTATCACTACTACACTCGCCACTACACTCACTACTACACTCACCACTACCACTCACCACTACCGTCACTACTACACTCACCACCACTACACTCACCACTACACTCACTCCTACACTCACTCACCTACTTCCCACTACACTCACCACTACACTCACAACTACACTCACTCACCAACTCACTACTACAGTGTGAGTGGGTGAATTGGTGGTTTGGGTGAGGGGGTGTGTGGTCTGTGCGTATCTGTGTATGTGTTGTGTGTGCGCGTCTGTGTGTGTCTGTTGTGTATATATGTATATATGTATACGTGTGTGTATATATGTGTGTGTGCGTGCAGGGTGTGTGTATATGTGTGTGTATGTATGTATATATGTGTGTATATGTGTGTATTGCATATATGTGTGTGTATATATGTATACGTGTGTATATATGTATTATGTGTGTGTGTGTCTGTGTATGTGTTTATGTGTGTATATATGTATGTATATATGTATATATGTGGTGTGTGTGTGCGTGCGTGCGTGCATGTAGGGTTGTGTGTGTATATGTGTGTATACGTGTATAAATATGTGTGTGTGTGCGTGTGTGCAGGGCGTGTGTGTCTGTGTGTATATATGTGGTGTATATGTGTGTATACGTGTGTATATGTATATATGTGTGTGTGTCTGTGTGTGTATATATACGTGTGTGTGCGTGTGTGCAGGGCGTGTGTGTCTGTGTGTATATATGTATATATGTGTATATATGTGTGTGCGTGCGTGCAGGGTGTCTGTATATATGTATATATGTGTATATATGTGTGTGCGTGTGTACAGGGTGTGTGTGTGTCTGTGTGTATATATGTGTATATGTGTGTGTATGTATATGTGTGTATACGTGTGTATATGTGTGTATATGTGTATATATATGTGTGTGTACAGGGTGTGTGTGTATATACGTGTGTATATATGTATATATATGTGTGTGTGTGTGTGTACAGGGTGTGTGTATACGTGTGTATATGTATATGTGTGTATATATGTGTGTGTGTGTACAGGGTGTGTGTATACGTGTGTATATGTATATACGTGTGTATGTGTGTATATATATACGTGTGTATGTGTGTGTGTACAGGGTGTGTGTCACCGTGGCTGAGCTCCACGCCGCCGCCCTCCGCCCTCGACTGCCGCCAGTGCTGCCTCTGCCTGGAGAGCGGAGACCTGCAACCTGACGTGCGCGCACTGTACACCGCACTGTACACCGCACACCACACTGTACTCCACACCAAACGCCACACTGTACACCGCACAGCGCACTGCACTGTACACCACACCACACTGTACACCGCACACCACACTGTATGCCCCACTGTACGCCACGCGAAACGCCATCCTATACACGGCACTGCACACTGTACACCGCACACCACACTGTACTCCACACGAAACGCCACACTGTACACCGCGCTGTGCACTGCACGCTGCACTGTACACCACACCACACTGTACACCGCGCACCACACTGTATGCCCCACTGTACGCCACACGAAACGCCATCCTATACACCGCACTGCACACTGTACACCGCACACCACACTACACCGCACGCACACTGTACACCACACGCCACACTGTACACCGCACGCCGCACTGTACAGCGCACGCCATACTGTACACCGCACTGCACACCGCACGCCACACTGTACACCTGATACCGCACTGTACATCGCACTGTACACCACACTGTATCTGTGTGTGTGTATCTGTGTGTGTGTGTATCTGTGTGTGTGTATCTGTGTGTGTATCTGTGTGTGTGTGTATCTGTGTGTGTGTGTATCTGTGTGTGTGTGTATCTGTGTGTGTGTATCTGTGTGTATCTGTGTGTGTATCTGTGTGTGTGTGTATCTGTGTGTGTGTGTATCTGTGTGTGTGTGTATCTGTGTGTATCTGTGTGTGTGTGTATCTGTGTGTGTGTGTATCTGTGTGTGTGTGTATCTGTGTGTATCTGTGTGTGTGTATCTGTGTGTATCTGTGTGTGTGTATCTGTGTGTGTGTATCTGTGTGTGTGTGTATCTGTGTGTGTGTGCATATGTGTGTGTGTGTGTGTATCTGTGTGTGTATCTGACTACAGGGAGCAGGCAGGCTCGTGTATGCGGGACAGAATGAGTGGCTCCACGTGAACTGTGCACTATGTGTGTGTGTATCTGTGTGTATGTGTATCTGTGTGTATGTGTATCTGTGTGTGTGTGTATCTGTGTGTGTGTATGTGTGTATCTGTGTGTGTGTATCTGTGTGTGTGTGTATCTGTGTGTGTGTATCTGTGTGTGTGTATCTGTGTGTGTATCTGTGTGTGTGTATCTGTGTGTGTGTGTATCTGTGTGTGTGTATCTGTGTTTGTGTGTGTGTGTATCTGTGTTTGTGTGTGTGTGTATCTGTGTGTGTGTGTGTATATGTGTATCTGTGCGTGTGTGTATCTGTGTGTGTGTGCATATGTGTGTGTGTATCTGTGTGTGTGTGTATCTGTGTGTGTGTATCTGTGTGTGTGTGTATCTGTGTGTGTGTGTATCTGTGTGTGTGTGTATCTGTGTGTGTGTGTATCTGTGTGTGTGTGTATCTGTGTGTGTGTATGTGTGTGTGTGTATCTGTGTGTGTGTATCTGTGTGTGTATCTGTGTGTGTGTATTTGTGTGTGTATCTGTGTGTGTGTATGTGTGTGTGTGTATCTGTGTGTGTGTGTATCTGTGTGTGTGTGTGTGTGTATCTGTGTATCTGTGCGTGTGTGTATCTGTGCGTGTGTGTATCTGTGTGTGTGTGTATCTGTGTGTGTATCTGTGTGTGTGTCTGTATCTGTGTGTGTGTGTGTGACTACAGGGAGCAGGCAGGCTGGTGTATGCAGGACAGAATGAGTGGCTCCACGTGAACTGTGCGCTGTGGTCAGC